GCGAATGACCTATGGCTCCGAGGAATACAGCGAGCTGGCCATTCACTGCATACGAGATGGCAGAGGCTTGCGGTACGTTCGGACTGGATACCATGGTGAAAAATTCCCAGCTTCGTTTATCTGCATAGGACTAGGATGCACAATGCTTCGCCTCAAGCTCGTGTAGCAAGGTGATTCGGCCCTGGTGGCAATCTCCTAAGAAGGGGGGCGGATCAACCTGGGGGAAAAGGTGTCTAGGGCTCTAGGCTCGTGGGAACTATTTTCCCACTGGCCCATGCTACTGGTTTTGCGAGAGGTTGGTGACTCAGTTGAAAAAGCTCCGGTCCGTCATCAGAAGACCAGGAACGGCACCACCAACTACTGTATGAATCAAGTTGACGTTGTGGTTATTGTTGCTCAGGATCGATGGCGTGCATCAGCGTGTTCGGGCTCTGCGCTAAACGGCATGCTACGCTCGTTAGTATGGCCGACGTACCTGGGTGCTGGGGAGACTCGACATCATCGTCTGCATCAGGACGGAGTAGCCTGTACTCCGAAATACCTTTGATACACATGGCCTGCGACTCTGCGTATCCACTGCATGCTGATTCGAAAAAAACCGGGAGGAGGCCCAAGTCCCGAGTCCCAAGTCCCAAGCTTCTGAGATAGTGAGTGAACAAGAACATCTACTAAGGTACTAGTTTCGAAAGTACCTGTAGGAGCGGGCCTGGACAAGCCAGGCACTGTACCCGTACCTACTATGATTTCCAGGTCCTGACGGATGGGTGGCCCAACTAGCGTCCTTCCTTGTCTGTGTCTCTGTGAATTTCTCCAGAATCGAGAGTCGAGTCTGGTCCAAGTACCATAGTGTGAATCCAGTTCTGGTGATCGGTCGGGCGCTCCCATGTAATGGGACCTAAATCCAACGAGGGATCCACTGCTAGCAATAGTTCCGGATAGCGCTCGTCCGGGCGGGTTCTGAGATCAACCATTTCAAGTTAAGCATTCATGCGTGGTTGATGCGGAGAAAGCCAGCGCTGCTGCCCTGCTAAGGGAAAGCTGCCGAAGCCTTAGGCCACTTCATTCTTCTGTACTCTCTTTCGGCCGACCTCTTGAGGCTTGACTCGCAGCTGTTGCAATTCTCCGGTCAGTGAAAGAAGCAGACTATTTGATTCGAGTATAGCCAATCCACGGGTGGACACCTTTTACAAGTCTACGACTGGCCGGCTTCATCGTCTTTGGTTAGGCAGAGGGTCTTGGCTTCATCCTTTGGAATGGAGATCCCTAACGGAATCCTCGGTACGCCGACGCCATCGACCGCTCTTCGCTCCCCCCAACAATTGCAATTGTTACAGGCTCGCTGCCGGCCGCGCCCTGTCCAAGAGATTTGATTGACTACTAGCAATTTACTTATAGTACTGTTAGGCAGTGGCTGGTCAGATGGATCCCGAATCCGCTGTGGTGATAGTCTTCAAGGTTATTTTTCCCCCACACCTGAGAACTTAATTATTTCGTGTCATCGGCCGGACCGCCCCTTAATGGTCGGCAGTAGAAGTTTTGGCATGATCTGTTGTCGCACATCACTAAGTCCGAAGCTGTGCACACTCCTTGAGCCGGTCCTGCAGGATGGAGAAGGTTGACATCAGCAGTCCACATCTGCTGGTAATAGGAACAGACACTGGGCCGCGTCAGAACTCAGAAAGCCTGTCCTATGTTTCACAGCTGCTGCGAAGGTCTGACAGGATCTTGACGGTATGCATCATTATAGTTTATACTTCGCTTCGCCTAAGAGGGTGACACAACAGCAGCCTTCTTGAAACCCCCTTGTGCGGTAGAATGAATGATCCTCTGCTCTGTTGACCTCATATGATCCCACCGGGTATAGGTTCGTTTTGAAGTTACAGGCCTAAGTACTGTTGATCGGGCTAGCAGGGGTTCATGTCCAACATCCCGTGCTTCCTTGGGCCCTGAGGTCTCATCCCTCAATCTATAGCATGGCAATCCTCGGCACCTGTGCCCTGGCAGTTGCGCATCGTTTCATGTAACTAACTACTTTTCTCCTGAGGATGCGGGACTAATTGATCAACATCAATCATGGCCATGTGGCCGATCAAGATAACTGACCGCAAGATTACTAGGTTGTTTAGCTTGACGAACTAGTGCGGTGTAGCAATCTAGTCCATACAAGGGGAGAGAATAGTCTGGGAAGGCCATCAGCAGTCTAGTCGCTTACCTTTCGCAGACTAAGCAGGAGGTTAGTGGCTTCTAAGGATGCAGTGTTGATCCCAGAGCCAGCCAACTAAGACCTAGTAATATCTGTTAGCGTTGCTCCTAAGCACATCACAATATTCTGATAAAATTTCCATGGACCCATCCTACGCACAGGGACAACGAGTCCTGCCTTTCGGCTTTAGCCAATACAGTCTCTTGGTCCGAAAAGGGTGTACCTTAGTCATTCCCAGTCGGTCTTTGCTTTTTGCCATCCAGCATGCATCAGGTCCCGATAAAGTAAGTGGTCCCTTCCCCTAGACCACTCAGCGCAAGCTTCTAGATCTTGTTTGTCTTGTTCGACACCAACCCCTTGCTTGTCTGATGCTTTTCTTCTCTCTCTCTCTCTCTCTCTCTCTCTCTCTCTCTCTCTCTCTCTCTCTCTCTCAGTTGCTGGCTTCTTTCAAAGCCCACACGTTCCTGTTCCGATTGCATTGCCAAGCGAGCGCCTCATTAGCCGCGCATAATTGACTTATAGACAGGGTCCATCGTTGGCGGTGTATCGGATAGATTCGGTATCCAAGTATGAGTCCATATGGAGTATGTGGCAAAAGAAAGAGTCCACCCAAATAATGCTCTCCAGCCCTGTGTACAATACAATCATGTCTCCATCATCTGCACCGGCCCCGAAAGTTGCGCCAAAATTCCATTCCGGCCCACGTTAATCGCTACTAGACGGGCTTTCCCCCACTAGTCTAGTCTTCCACTTGCCCTCGTCACTTTGCTTTCTATCCCCCACATTCTAGTCAGGGATCCAGATCCCGACCATCAGACAAAAAAAACGTGGCTCGGGCGCCTGCGCGTGTCTCAAATTCTATTACTTTTACGGAAATCTTTGCGACAGCTTCGAGACAGTAGCCCGTCCGAGACTCCCTGCCCAGGACTGGAAACACAGGCATATACGAAACCGCTCCCCTTCCGAATCCTCTTCCGCTTGCACCCTTCCCCATCCTTTTCTGGAGCGGTCTGCTGTCAGATTCCCTAGAAGATGTGCTTTGATGTCATCGGTTATGTCCAAAGGATCCCTAGCTTGGTTCTTGGCACCGCGCCTGGTAGCCTCCATCACTTAAGAATCCCATGTGTGCACCCTTACTAGTGCGGCCGTAGGTAGTAAGGTACGGTACGGAGTACATCCTAGATGATTTCCCTAGTCCTAACTAGTATCTAGGCAGTCACTTAGGGTCGGTCGGACTTGACAGACAATTCGACTTTAGTGCAAGTGGGGCAAGGTAGAAATGAATCGGAGCGTTCATCTTCGTTCCCTTTGTTCTCTTCTTAATTTCAGGTTTTTTTTCTCCTTCTCTAATCCCTGTAGATAGGCCATTATCATATAGATTGAGACAGGGGGGTTGGCTGTTAGTGTACATTTTCCTCTACACCGTACCCCGTACTTGCCATGTATTAAACGCGGGCTGAGGTTGTACTAGCACATGGACCTAAGGGAACGAGAGAAAAGAAATTTCCAATCCAGTATCCATCTATACTAGAGATCTGCATGCATACTTAGGCCGGAAGCCTCTCCATTGGACTATCCTATCATCCTTCCGCATTGACTGGGGTGGAGAGGAAGGAGGGAAGCAATTGGAGACGTTGACGCTTGCGCATCCCATCGAATCCAAAAGTGACATCCAGCCCATTGAAGTAGCCGGTCTTAGACACTCGGCGTTCCGATATCAGCCTTTCTTTCTTCCTCTCTTTCTCCTCTCCGGGCGTCCCTCAGGATAGAATAGGGTCTTTTGACCGAATTAGCCATAGCCAAGGGTCTCAACCGGCATGTCTGATAGGAGCGCTCGTTTAGCACTTTTCTCGTCGCTTCAGAAGGGAGAGAAGACCAGAGGCCAGGCCGGGTTTTCGTTAGTGCCGAACTGAACCAACTGGGGGGGACCCGCGCATGAATCGGTGTCGGGACTTGGGACTAGTTTGGGTTCGAGCTGCTGCTAAATGTAGATCAATGGGTATTACAACCGGGCGTTTCTATAGCTCGTTTCAATATAGATTTCAAGTCCCCCCTTGAAATGACATGGGGCAACTTACAGCATGTTAGATGGTGATATCAAGGCAGTACTGTATCTATTGACTGCGGTAGTCTCTACTCGGTTTTCTTTTTACCTTTTACTTTTTTGTTTCTCGGGTGCGGTGTTGATCATCGATGGGTTTGATACGCGGGCAGCTCCGCGAAAAGTAATTGGCGCACTGAAGCGTGAAGAAAATAGTTAAAAAGGAGCGATCATGGTAAATAAGCTTTAAACGGGCACTTAAGCAGACTCAAAACATGACCTGCTTTTCCAGGCAGGGGGAAGATTCATGGGCTCTTGTTTAGTTAGTTGGTTAGTATGAACGATGAGCAATCCTTTTTCCTTTTCTCCCATCCCCAGCCTGCGTAGTAGCTTACCTGCCAATGCAGCGTTGCCCCGCTTGCTGGCTGCAGATAGGAGGCTCCTCACAAGGTTTACACTCGGTCGCAACCCCAGCCTTCGTTTCTGTTGGCGTCGATCTAAGTTTGTGCGAGATCACAAGTGTTCATAAGGATACGACCGAGTAAATGCGGTAATTCCAACCCATCTGGACCAGGAACCAGTGATTGTGAGTGTGGAGTTGGAATTCGTTATGGGGTTGGCGAGTCATGTGTGCGCTGTTTGGTTTCCATTCACCTCTCTTTGCCTGGACGCGGAAGCCCAGGTAGCCCATATTCCAGGGCCCATATCTATTTGCACAGTACATCGTCGAATCACACTTTTCCTTCCTATGGTTCGGGGTCTTAGTAACTTTATCTTGTGGTCTGTCCGTATTCAGGAAGTACCTTGGGAGTAGATCTTGAAGTCTCTAAATCCGTAACCAGCAAAATATCCGATGCAGGCTTCAGAAAACGACAACAACCTCATACCCAGGAAGGCAGGAGCATAATGGGCCGAATTTCTTCGGTAAACGAGCGAGTATATTCGAGCACATACCTCGAGAGACTGGAAACAAAGGATTTCCGCAAGGATCAACATTGGCGCACATTCAATCGCTGATTCTCTGCTTGTCAGCAGCCCATCTCTACACGATCGGCCGGGGGACGGAGCCCTTCGGTTCAAAGTACCGGTCTGTACAATTCCCACCGCTACTAATCCGGATAGCAGAGAGTCAAAAGTTCCGAGGGTCCATGGCATGACTGAGTGCTGGTGTGGATATACAGTAGTGAGATCCGACCAAGCTGTCGCTCGCTCGCTTGAACAAAGAAAGATGCAAGGGGCAAAAACTCAAAGCCAATCTGATCTGGACAGTTTTCCCCTCTTCCTCCAAACATCGCCTCCAAGCCGATATGTGCTAGGATCACCTTCAGATCTTTGTCTGTCTGTCTGTCTATGCGTCTGCGTAAGACGATCCCCCAAAACTCTTATGAGATCACTTCTGATTACCCCGTTTCGTTTATCGTCCGATCTTTCCTGCGCCCTGTGTGGATACCCAATCTACAACGGAGGTACTGTACATACGGCGATGGATTGTCGTGCGCACTGACATTATGGGCTCTACCTGCCTGCAGGCTGAAGCAAGGCTTTTCTTGTCTATCTACTCTTTCTTTGTGTCCCTGGCTGTCTGATCGTAGAGCAGGGAGCAATCAATTTCTGTTCTCTGTTAGAGTTGATTGAAGACTAATCGATCTTTAGACCATTCCAGGAACTGAGAATCAGTATCCCCGTTCTGAATGCCCGTTCACATGTCCCCCGGAGACTTGCTTCCGGGGGGCTGATCAGCCCACTCGGGCCTGACACTCCTGCTCGACGTGCCTGATGGCTGTGTCAATCACATGGCTGTCAAAGTTTTGACTTGCCCAGCAGGCAGGCAAGCCATTCGGCATGTTGGGCGTTGGGTCTGGCAGGAAGAGCGCCCGGATATACGGTACTATGGACATTTACCCTTGCAGCACCGCGACGCACGATGAGCTCTTGAAAGCACTGATGCAGATCGTCGTGGCTTCCTGCCCTAGTGCCTACGCCCTCCCTTCCAGGCACGGGATCTCCGCACTATATCGGAGTCCCCGTTGTTTTTGGTCGCAATTCCGATCGCATAACTGCATGTATACCGTGCAGATGTTGGGCTAATGGCACAGTAGTCCCCTAAGGCTAGATACGCAGGCAGACGAAAGATATTGATTATCGATTGATGATAATCAAACAAAACCGGTTTTGACCTTCCGAACTACCGGAACCTTTTCCCACCACTGTGTATCATATACTTCTTCATGTCATGTGCACAGTGCAATTCCTTCGGGTGGGGAGGAGGTGGAGCGGACATACGCCTGCACGCTTCTCAACACGGCTGGGTGCTCTACATAGTAAGCAATGCCTGACGGCTTGAGATGCATGGATTACGTCACTGGGAGCAAGGTCTCCGGAATCTATTGTGGAGAAACAGGTCGGGCTGGGATGCTGCCTCAAAACACATACGAGACACAGCGGATGCTTGCAAATCGGGATCTGGTGGCTCGCCGAGCCCGTAGAAGGCAATCAATGGGCAAACGGGGATTCGGGAATGCAGGTATCTCGGGATTAGCCAGTTCACCTTGTCTGTCGTGTCAATGTCTCAGATATCCTGACCGCTGGTTATAGGGCTCAGCCATCCTCGGGACGACATAACGATGAAGGCAACGAACGTGCTCTAGGGAATTGCCCCTTTATTTTACCTAGTGTGTTGTTTTGAGCAAAGCACATGGTTCTGGGGGGTGTGGTACCTTGGAGTCCCTTGATGGCTGGATGAGGAAGCCGCTGGGAGCCGCATCCGTGGTAGCTGTAGGATGAAGCGTCCTTCTCGGCACAAGATTTGGAATGAAGGGCCTAAGCATCAAGGTGAATGAGCATTGTCTCCTCATTAGGCATGCTTAGTGTATCTCGGTCTCTTTCAGCTTGGTGAGAGGAGCCACACTAGGTGCCACGTCAAATTCTAGGCATGAAGTCGTCCATACGAGTGGTCTCAAACGACGTACGAGCCGTATCCGGCAGACTGCGGAGGCCATGGCTGCTTGCCTTACTAGAAGGGGAACTCAGAGACAGCCACGTGAGAGGTGGGTAAGTCCTCGTCGCCTACTGCTGGCTTCGAGGCACTGCTCGATGTCGAATCAATATCGGACCACTCAGCGTGACCTACTTCTTGCTTTGGCCCTTGTATTGTGCCAGTAAAATATAAATTCACTGGAACCTTTACACGCCAATCAAAGACGCTCTAGCCATAGATATGGCGATTCTGCAGTTGTAAGAGAGTCGGACTTGCGAAGAGCATATTTTCGCAGGGAGTTACATCTCAACACCGGAAGGAGGTTTTTCTTCATATTAGCATCCTCGCTCGCAAGTATCCTTCGCTGCTTGAATGAGTTGGCTTAGAACAGATGTCATGTATTCATGCAGCTCAATTACGGTAAGCATATACTTTGACCATCCATCTCCCTACGATAAATGCTTCGACCTTTTGACAGCAGGCATTGCATCTGTGTGTAACTTTCCCTGCCTTATTCTCGAGTTGTAGTTGTATCTCACTCACCAACCCACGATTCCTTTCTATCAGTAAGATGAGCTGTAAGACCGGGCGTGATTGATACACGGCATGGAGCTATACAACATGTTTTGCTTGCCTCTTTAGTAGAGCTTGGTCTCGTGATGTAGTATCTACGTCCTTGTTGCTAGCAAGCAACGGTTATTGACTTTTCGTTGCATTCGCTCCTTGAATGAACATACCAAATTGCTTTGGATTTCGGTATCTATCATGACTATTACTGAAGAAGTTGGCACGGTAGATTGATTGTATCCCCATAGATGTGAGTCTCGTCTGGGATATATATAATGCCGAGATAATGCGACTTCCGCGTTCAACGCAGAGTCTTACCACCGTCAACCGAGCAACTGAGCCTCTCTTCAATCGAGATTGATAGCAAGGACATAGTCTATTTGACATGAAAAGTAATCCTATTTATCGATCTCAGAAAGACTTGTGAATGTATACCAAGTCACATGACCTGTATGCGGACTAACTTTTATCCGTAGGCATTTTCTCCCATCACGGGTCTCGATCATGTATAGACTCTTTCACCTCCTCCACCAGCTTGTTTCGAGCTTCGATCGCTCTCCTGCCCATCGGCCATCCCAAGTCGGTCGCTTGCCGCTTTGTGGATGGCAATTGGTCATCATATCGCATCTGTCGCCTTCTGTCCCGAGATCTCACGTGCGTGGAAGTCTACCGGAAGTCGGATAATCTGGCCGCTTGTGCATATCAATATACAATTACATCACTTCATCAGAGGCCGACTAAAGGGTGATCATAACAGTCACAGTTCTTGGTGCCAGCCATTGCATACAGTCAATTGTGTCTTACAAATATTCCTCACCGCACGCTTAAATCGCCAGGTTCCTTTGACGCCGACATCTGATATGACTGCTCTCGTCTCGTGCTAGTATTCTATCCTAACACACTCGGCGCATTTATCCTTGTGCCGTTCCTCTGTGTCCAAACTCATTGAACTGTTACTTCATCATGGCGGGGATTATGACTCTGCAGGGGTCTCTCCCGGCATCTCGGCAATTCACGCGCTTGTCCTGTGTTCTCCCATCATCGTCTCTTGGGCATTGCTCCGTGTCTAAGATAAGATGGCAAGTGCTGCAAGCGAAAGGAGCGTGTAGCTTCTCGACAGTGCGCACCTCAGGCGGCCGCTTTCCGCTCAGTAAAATCCAGGCAAGGTGCGATCTTGTTTTCTACTTTGTCCAGAGTCCGAGTTCTGAAGCTATGTTTAGTGCACCGGCGAAGAAGAGCAATGGTCTCCGCATCATGGAGTCGCAGTGGGCGCGAACAACTCTCCAGCAAAAGAGATGGTCAGCGCAAAAGTCGACCGACCGAAAAGATGCCCAAGGGTAGGTCCTCCGCGCATGAAATAGCGCCCCCGAGACAACGATAACCTGCTTTGTCGAATCCTAACCTGAAACTAGCTCTGAACCCAAGTCCAAGACATCTGCCATTCTGTCAAAGATCCCTTTGCCCACCACTCATGAGAACATCTACACTGTCCCCAACATTCTCACTTTCACGCGTTTAGTTGCCGCTCCCTTAGTAGGATACTTCCTTGTCCAAGGCCATCATACGGCTGCATTGGGTCTTTTCGCATATGCTGGTATCACGGATCTCGTGGATGGTTACATCGCACGCCGCTGGAACCTGCAGACGGTCGTCGGAACCATCATCGATCCCATGGCTGATAAGCTTCTGATGACCATCGGTGTGGCTTGCCTGGCTGTCAATGGTTCGATTCCTGGTAAGTCCATCACCCTGTAGCCGACATTGCAATTGAAACCGGACAGAAAGACAGCTGACATGGTTCCAACAGTCTGGCTCGCCGTCATCATCCTTGGCCGTGACGTTGGTCTGGCCCTGTCGGCGATCTATTATCGATGGATCTCTCTTCCCCCGCCGAAGACTATGGCTCGGTATTGGGACTTCTCGCTCCCATCTGCCGAGGTCAAGCCCACGACGGTCTCCAAAGTCAACACTGCGTTGCAGCTTCTGCTCGTAGGCAGTGCGATCGGCATGCCTGTGCTTCCGGAGGCGGTGATTGATGCATGGCATCTGAAGGAAGCCATGACCGCATTTCAGTGAGTACCCATATCACTTTCCGTTTTGAAGTTTGTTGGTTGTATTTGTTGTGTGGGGCAGCATAAGAGTGGCACTTTGCGTTTGTCTAGCACATACGACCACAGGGTGTGGAAAACAGGGCTTCCCGTCCGCTCAGCCGTACTTAAGCCACACGCCGGGAGGTTAGTAGTTGGGTGGGTGACCACCAGCGAATCCCTTCTGTTGTATGTTTTTTTTTTATATTTTTAATATGTTTCTGCTGTTCGAGTCTGCTCGTGCTCTTCTTACAAGTTTATTGTGAACTCAGAGAACTATGCTAATGGGATAGATACCTCGTTGCTGGAACCACGATCTGGTCGGGTCTCAGCTATGTGTTCTCCAAGGATGCGGTCAAGATCTTGACGAAGGAGGAGGTTCAGAAGCGTCTTGCCAGAGCCGCGGGGAAGAAGTAGTGGCGAAGAGATATATAGTTAGTGGTATGGGAGAGTATGTGTACTGTATATATGTAGGTAGCATACCATTGAAGGCCAACTAGCAGCATAGCAATTCTTCCATAAAAAGCCAATCAGAGAAAACGTGCCCTCTCAATCTCGAAGTCATATCCAAGTACATACATCACAATGTTCCACACAATAGACAACTAGCTGATGTGCTCTGCTGATGTAATGGCGACATTGAAGCTGACGAAGGCTTTTTTTCTAGTCCCATGAACCAATAGTGGGGCGGGGATTTCACCCCAGCGGCCGGCGCATTTAGGCCGACTGAATGATTCCATTTCCCCGCCGGCGACTTTCAGCAGCACCAGCGACTTTACTTGACCCGACCCAACTTGAACCTCACCTACCTTGCCTCCCCATCCGAAACACCCTTCTCCCCAAGAACAAGAAATTAAGGCAAATACCCAAAATGAAAGCCTACTGGTACGACAACAAGGAAGTAAGCCATCTCTCTCTCCACCCCACCAAACCCAACAACAACCTCAAAACTAACCGCGCCAAAACCAAAAGGGCGACCAACGCCTCCCGCACGACTCCAACCGCCCCGTAACAGAAGCCTACCTCGAGACCCTGGGCGTGATCTACCGCCACCTGCCGGCGCTGGCGGACGTGGACGCGCTGGCCGCCGCGCGCGGCTACAAGAACCGCGACGAGATCACCGTGTCGCCGGCGACGATGGGCGATGTCTACGAGGAGAAGGTCAAGGGCTTCTTCCACGAGCACCTTCACGAGGACGAGGAGATCCGCTACATCCGTGACGGTCGGGGTTACTTCGATGTCCGTGGCCAGCATGACGAGTGGGTGCGCATCTGTCTCGAGAAGGATGATTTGATTATCTTGCCGGCTGGTATCTATCATCGGTTTACCACGGATGAGGGGAATGTATGTTTTTTTTTTTTTTTTTTCTTTTTTCTTTTCCTATCTTCTGTTTTCGATCGTTGGGGGTTGTATTGGGAGGTGGAACTGCGGATTGAACTGCGGGAAATGTTCAAGGGCAGATTGAGCTAACGTGTGCGTTTTTGACTGCAGTATATCAAGGCTATGCGCCTGTTCCAGGAGGAACCGAAGTGGACGCCTTTGAACCGCAGTGATGAGTTGGATGAGAACCCTCACCGCGTTGGGTACCTCGGGACACTTGGGAAGGATGCTGTTGCTGCTGTTTGATCGAGGTGAATCGGTGGCTGTGATTTTGAGGGCAGCTGGAACCTGGGGGCGTGATGTGTATATAGAACAGGCAATGAAATTATGACACCCAAGTTCAAGTTAAAGTTCGTGTTCGTTTCTATGCCATCCTCGCTAGATGTAACTTTTCAGCAATCGTTATCTTCATTGTGTATTAGACAATCAGAAAGAATCACTGCCCCTCCAATGATCCAGGCATATGCAAATCACTCAACCCCCCCGAACTCTCCTCCCGCACCATACTAGGACTGCGCAGGTCCCCCGTCTCCACGTTGTAGCTCGAAGTCCGCGAGACGCTGTCGAATTGCGGCCGTGACGCTAGCCCGCCCCGGAATCGCAGTCCCTCCGCCTCGTGTGCACTTAGATGATCCGACATCGCCCCCCGCGACGCGCCATTCGAAGCCGTCTCGGACTCTTCGCCGGTCCGGACCCCCGTCCGGCCCATGCGCGGCCAGAGGTCGGGCAACCCCACCACCTGCACCCGGGGCTCGACGACGCGTTCCTCAAACCATGCATGGACTCGGGCCTCAACCAGCTGGGCCACTTTGGGGACGTCCTGCAGGCGACTACGGGAGCCAATCAGAGACCGAACCGAGAGATCGAGACGGTAGTCCGGAAGGAACGAGAATGCAACGTTGCTTTTCGGAGTGCCGGTCTTTGGGAGGGATGCGTCACCCTCCTCGGCGGCGGTGGGTGGCGGTTGGGTACCATCTCCGGGATTCTTAGTTCCATCGGCCGTGGGCGGCGACGGAGGAGATGGCGTGTGGAGGGGCGGCGTGGAGGCTGGGACGAGTGAGATGCATAAGGTACCCGAGAAGCGAACTACCGATACGGACAGCGCCACCGGTAGAATGGCGGAACAGGGTTTGGGATAGTTGAGCAGCAGTGACGTTTCGATGGCAATGGAGAGGTTGTCGTCGCTCAGGTCAACGTCCATCAGGGCCTGCAGGCGGCCACCATCGGAATTCGGGTCATCAACCGCGATGATTCGGCAGTTGCTGAAGATCGGAAACTCCTCCCCAAGCGATATGTCCGTTACCGCGATCTTGTCAATAAAAGACGGCTTCTTCTCCGGGTTGTTCAGGGCGGCGTTGAGCGAGCTGAGTATTGACGACGTCGGGGAGTCCTTGAGCAAGTATGCTGTCTGGCGGTACTGGGCGATCGTCTGCGCGATCAGCACATTGAACCAGTCCAGGGACTCAGGTTGATGTGAAGAGTGGTGGATTCTGTGTCGGCCTTGCTTGGCGGTGAGGTTGGGAGGAATGGCACTGTAATAGGTTTTGCGCAGAATGGACTGTGTGTTGGTTGACGAGGAAGGGACCGGACGGAGAACATTCGAGTTCGACGGTTTTTCCCTCAGCGACCGCGAGTTGGTTTCATTCGGGTTGAGGTTGTAGATCGAATTGGACCGACGGTGGGTGGATGCTCGATGCGAAAGACCGCGTGAGGGAGGTGGTGGTGCTTCGCCGAAGATGAAGAACTTGATGAAGGCGCCGATCAACAAGACCACGGACAGCTGGCCGAGCAAGAATCCCTGTGTGAAAGATAGACTAGATCGCCCTGTTAGCTTAGCTCTTGAGCACAACGACCCCCGGGGAGGATCAGGCCATAGTAAAAGTAGTGACGTACGAGGACTGAGCCGGAACGGGCTCGGCTGGTTCGCATTGAAGGTCAGCTCAAGCACAATTCAGGAAGAGTAGCAAAACACACGTTGTTGAAAAGACATTATCGGCACACGGTCGGCTCTGGATTTCTACCCATAGCCCATTGCCACAAGCTGAACTTGGAGAGTGAATGCAGACAACAAGAAATCTGGCGAACGGACGGCGACCGGCAAGTAACCGGGCCCATGGAGGTTCCGCCTCCGATGGACGGCGCTAAGCCGATTAGATTCTTTTCTTCCTGAATGGCCGGGTTTATCAATCTGATCGGAAGTCGCCCGCCGTCCCTCCCCATGGAAGTTTCCATCATCTCCTGAAAGGACACGTCGTTTGAATCAGGCTGCACATATAAGTCAGCTCAGCTCAACTCAGCTAATCCCAGCTCTGAAGCTGGGAATCAGTTTTCGACGCATCTCTCAAAACTGACACTAATCCAGTTGTGTTCATATGATGACTCTGATCTGAGAAAAATAAAAGAAACCACTACATTGGCTCCTTATCTTGCGAGCCTGTACTGACTCTGGAGCTGGAGAACAACAAACGCATCATGTATCACTCACTCCTGCTACAGTTCTTCTTATCGCTCCTTCTCTCGCAACCGCTCCTCTCTGCTGCACGCTCACAGCAGCCGCCAGGCAGCGATGCCATCCTCCTCTCCCGCGTCCACTCGCTCACTCTGCGGGGAAATCGCCTCACGACCTCCAGGCGCGTGTCCCCTATCCCTCAGTTAAAATGCATCGGCCCCTCCAAGCGCATCTGCAATTTATACCCCATCGAAACGATGCGATGCACGAACGAAGGCTACGACTACGACGAAGAGGATATTCAATGGACCTGTACCGCCTCACTCCCCGCGGAATTCAAGCTCGGCTCAACCGACGTAGTATGCGAGGGCTACCGGGACGCAGATGACAAATGGGTCTTGAAGGGAAGCTGCGGCGTCGAGTATCGTCTGCTATTGACGGAGCCGGGAGAAAAGCGATTTGGCTCGGAATGGCAGAATAGCGACTTGTGGCCTTCAAACTTCGATAAATCTGGCTGGAGGGGCGTGTTTTCTGCGCTGGGCAATCTCGTTTTCTTTGGGTTCATGGTGGCGTGTTTCTTCCTCATAATGTTGCCCATGCTGAGAGACTGTTTTGGGCTACGTGGGTTTCGACGAGCTCAACGGGGAGGTCGCGGCTGGGGTGGAGGAGGTGGTGGTGGTGGCGGCGGTGGTCCCTTTCCTCCTGGCCCTCCCCCTCCCTATAGTAGTTGTCCAGATCCAGCTCCTGCTTCTGAATCGTGGAGACCTGGGTTTTGGACAGGTGCTTTGGGCGGCGCTGCAGCTGGCTATGGGTTGGGCAGCAGAAACAGTCGCCGCAGCTCAGCTTTCACGCAACGGCCCGCCCCATCTTTCACCAGGTGGGATGACCCCGGCGAAGGTAGCTCAAGGTCACGCTCGCCGCAATTCTCGAGTACAACCACAAGTACCGGGTTTGGTTCGACTAGGCGCCGCTGAAGGGTGGAGGATTGTGCAACGAGAATCTCATTGTGAGTTTGATTCGGGTGATTTAATGCGTCTCTTTGCTACTTCATGGCGTAAACGAGTCTAAGTGAACGAGCCTCATGGCAGTTGTATTGATGCCTAGGTTAGGGTAAGCATCGGTATCCAAGGGAAGGCCCCTATGAAAATACCTCGAAAACCAGACGCCTAGGGAATCTGCTTCCCCAGCTCTAGTCCATCGTAACAGCACGTAACGCTTGTATGTTGCCGCGGTCATAAAAGTTCCGCCAAGACGAACCACACCGAACATGGTATAGAAGTTCATGGAACGTCGTCAATGGTGCCCAGCACCTCTTCTGTTCCACCAGCCATGGCTTTCATCGCTTGCCTCCGGCTGGGTCGTTTGGCTTTAGTAGGCAGATCGTTGCCTTGGCCAAGCTCATTCGCAGCGCCATCAGGGTTTCGAAGCAGTTCCTCTTGAGCTTCCTTCTCCTTGGCATGCTGTTCCTCCATCTGTTTCCGTTCTTCGTCCAATTGCTGCTGTATGACTTTAGGATCATCATACACCGTGTTGGTCATCTGAGAGTAGGTGTTGATGTCAATACTCTCTCGTGGACCTAGAAGAGTCTCTTTGATGCGCAAGGGATCGCGGCGCTCCTCGTTATTGAACTTGAGTTTAATCTGTCGCCGGCTTCTCCCAGGAAACAATTTGCTAATCATCATGAAGTCGGTACCGAAAATACGTAACCCCCTGTAAAACAGATCCGTCATCTCTTCGTCCCAGGACTCTGTCTTGGAACGTTTTCCATAAGTAGCCTGATTGATCTTTCGCGTGAAGGTATTTTCAACAACGTCCTCGAGCTCGCCAGCATTCCTTGCTGCATCCGCGTGGCGGTCAACTTGCAAAGAAGCGGTATCAAGCACAATCTCTCCGTTGACAATGCGCATCACCGGCCCGGCTTGAGATTTGTTGTCGAGTATGCTGTTTCCGTCGTCCGCCGGCGTATGTTCGTTGCCACTGGCCTTGACTGGTACCTCAGTGTCACCTTCCTGCTGCGCTCGTTGTTTGCGCTCGAGCTCTGCCTGATCGAGAACGCGAAGTTCGGTTTCCCTTTTGGACAATTTTCCAGTTCGAGTGTCCTTGCACAATTCCGACATCTTGATCAGGCCAGGGGCGATCTCGACATTCTCAGAGCCTTCAGGAGTCGGCTCGCGCTTCTTGCGTGTCCGAGTCTTTCTTTCCTTTTTCTTGCCTGTCGCAGTCTCACCATTGCCTTCCCTGACGGATTTCCTCCGGACTTTGACCACCTTTCGAGTTTGACTGGTCGGGACAGGCGTCTGTGACTCTGTCTCCGTCTGAGTTTCTAGCGACTCTTGAGTATCCGTAACGGGAGCTTGTGAAGCGGGGGGTGTGGGAAGTGGAGGAATGTCGGAAACTGGAATTTCTGTTCGAGCTGAAGGGGGGTGAATGGTGTTCTTTGTCGTGGAATTGGTCCTAGGACGCTTGGTAGGGCGAATTTCGATGGCGCCATCTGCGGGACGGTGTATGCGACTTTGTGATGCGGAAACCTCTTCAGTACGACGCTCCACGACGTGCGTTGGACTTACATCTCGACTGACACCGGCGCGCGATCCCTGGAACTCGGCTTCGGTTGTTGACAGTTGAGACGCGCTTTCGGTGGGTGCAGTACTAGGTGGGGTGGGTTGAGGAGGAGATGGTACGACTTGTGCAGCCTGGGGAGGCGCGACTGTGATAGAAGGCTTCCGCTTTGGTTGAGGGATCGCGATCGCGGTTGTGGACGAAGAAGACGCAACATTCTTCTTCAGAGTCGTGGCTGATGTTTCTATGGGAGTGGTTTCAACGGCGGCGGCGGCGGGCTGGACAGATGTGGTGGCTGGGCCTGGCTCAGGTGTCGCTGTCTCGGTCGCTGGCTGTGGTGTCTGTGAAGCAGAAGGCTGAGACGCAACGCTGGGTCGCCGCGGTGGAGGGGGGGCTGGGGCGCGTCGGGCAGGCGCCTTGGGGGCAAATTTCTTGCCCGACTTATCTGAACAAGGAAGACAATTAGATGAGGTCCGCACTGGGAGTCCGAGGCGAAGAAGAAAACATACTGATAACAGAACTGGAAAACGACTTCATTGCGATTGAAAATTTTCGAGCAGGTTTAGGTCATCGCTGACATGTATCCACCGGAAAATTGACCGGTCAGACAAGGGAGTGTTTATTGGCGAAAAGAATGATAATGAATGGAAGTGATGAAAGGGGGGGAGGGTTGTGTGAAGGTTGTTGAATGAGATGAACGAGGAACAGCGAAAAAGCAGGGGAGGTGTGAGTCTAGATGCCTGGACCTGCTGGCTTCCCGGGGAAAGTGGATGTGGTCACGTGGGAGGCGCCAACTCCCAGGCCGAAAATCCTCCTGGCTTCCTTCAGTCTTGCTTATCTCAACTCTCTTGAATCCCATCCAGCACACACGTTCACCTAACTTGCTCCCTTTCCACTCCACTCCACCCCCCACCACTACCACCACCCACCCCCATTCACCACATCTTCATCGGTCGGATTTTCTCGCGGTCTCGGCTATCGGCTCGTTGCTGCTCAGTGGTGACGGCCTCTAATTCACTTATGCCTCTTAGCCACTGATGCCGGCCGCCGAAGCTTCCCCCGTCGCATCTTCCGATTCCGGTTTTGTCATGATGGAGGACCGGAAAAGAGCCGCTGCCTATGACCACAACGACTCGGCTCCACCATTGAAGAAGCAGGCAACTTCTGTCAATGGTGGTAATAAGCCGCACCCTGATGCTGACATGCCCTGGAAAGATGATCTCGAGGTGAGTGCCCCAATAGCACACGTGGGTGTCAACTTACCCCAAGGGTTACCCTAGAAACCCTTTCCTACGCCAATTTCGACTTTACCGTGGAGTCAACTAGGGGAGATACTGACGTCTTTCCTTCGCAGCGATTCCAAAAAGACGCAATATGGCGCCAGATGCAGGAGTACAAACGGGAAAAGGTATCCCTTGAGGCCAAGTTGAAGGAGTTGTCCAGGTCCACCGCCTACCATAATGACCATCTACGTATTATCGATGCCTGGTACAAACAAGTGAGTAGATCACCGCATTTTGCTCGCTCTGTGTTCAAGGCTGACGCTCTTGAAAGTTAATCGATGAGATCAAAATACTCATGGGCGCCCCGGAAGAAGATGCCAAGGGTGGGTCCGCCGCGAGGCCGCCAGTTGCTTTACACACAAACACTAAACATCACACAGAACGTTCATCTTTCCAAAGCAGTCTCTTATTTGACGATAATGAGCAGTTTGAGAAACACCTTAAATTACGATCGGAGGATATCCGGAAAATTATTTCGAGAGTGTTGTCTAAATCCTCCAAAGTATCGCCTGAGGTCTCGGAATTGCAGAGCCGACTTGCAAAGAAATTGGCGGAAGAGAAGGCCGCGATCCTCGATCTCGAAAAAGCGTTGTCCGAAAAGCAGCAGTTAGAGGAGAGTTTGGAGGAGGCCTCTCTACGTTATATGGTCGCCGAGAAGAAACTTGATCGTGCACGAAGCGTTACTGTCGCCAAATTAGAAAAGCAATACATACTGGGTGCCCAGCGGCCCGGGGGTGATAGTGCGTCGGGACCGCGTGAGGAGCCATCGGCCTCCAACGGCGCAACTCCGAGTGGTGAACGAAGCCCTGCGCTGGATGAAGCGCATAACAAACTTGCGGCCGTCGCGGAAAAGCAAAAAGAACAGCTACAGAAATTGGAGGCCGAGAACGCAAGTCTGTTGAGCCAAATCACCGAATTAAATATCAAGGTATGTCGTATGCATGTTCCTTCAGCCAGAAAGCGCTAATATTTGCGTAGCATACACGATTGACGGATGATGACTACGCGAATACGGATTTATTCAAGCAATTGAAATCCCAATACGACGATGTTGTTACTCGAATAAACCATCTGGAGGCGACTAATGTGCAACTTCGCGAAGAGGCGGCGAAACTACGGTCGGAACGAACTGCATACCGCAACCAAGTCGACGACGAGACGCGGAATGTAATTGTTGAGAGAGAGGCACAACTGATGCGAGCCGAGACGGATTTGGCACGGATACGGAACGCACGCGATGAACTGTTGGCAGATCAGCAGATGCGGAAGGCTGCGCAGGAACAGGAGAAAACCACTGTCATTAAGGTTCAGGAACTTGCAGATGCGGGCCAGGCTCGGATCGCAGCTTTGGAATCCGAGGTGGAGCGACTGCGTATCGAGGTCGAGAAAGAGAAGGCCGCCGCACATACGGCCGACGAGATACCGACCGAAGAATTACTTACCCGATTCCGCAACTTGGAGCGTCAGTATGCGATGCTCAACACCGAGTTGTCCTCGATGCAGGTTGCTTGCAAAAAGTACTCGTCTCTGGCTTCGCAGAAAGTGACTGATTTCGGCGCTTTGGAAGAGAAGGTGGCACGGCTTATAGCGGAGAAATCGAAAGCGGATCAGAAATATTTTGCTGCGATGAAAAGCAAGGAAGCCCGGGAGTTGGAGGTTCGAACATTGCGCATGCAAAACTCCAAGAGTTCGGATATTGTTTCGCAGTTGAAGGAATCCGAGGCCGCCACTCGGAACTTGCTTGCGAACATGGACAAGCAACTAAGTGAGACAAGGGAAGCGATGAATGCCTTGGTTAATAAGAACCACGCTGCGCAACAACAAATCACAGAAAACAATATCATGATTGAGGGCCTAAATAGGCAGGTGGCGGATCTTAAGGCGTTGTCAGCATCCAAAGATTCGACACTTTCCAGTACGGCTAGTGCCTGTCGCAAAGCCGAGACCGAAGTCGAGGGCTTGAAGGCTACCCTGGCGGACACCAAGAAGAGTCTAGACAATTGGAAGAACAAGAGTCTTGGCAACCAGTCGTCCGAGTATGAGATGCTGCGGGTCAGTACCACGTTTTTCTATAACCACAAGATAGTACTCCTTGCTAACGCCACAAATAGACACTTGCTCTTTGTACAGTATGCCGCCGGAACTTCAAAAACACAGCGATCAAGACTTGCGGCCACGTCTTCTGCAAAGAGTGTGTCGAAGAACGTCTCACCTCACGGTCACGCAAGTGTCCGAACTGCAACAAGTCCTTTGGCAACAATGATTACATGCATATCACCTTGTGATCTGATCATTACGTCTCCATTCATATACTTTGTGTATCATAGTCTCTCTACCTTTCCCACCCCCTCCCCCTTCCTTACTTTCCTCCCCTTGCCATTCTGCCATTCTCTCCCCAGACTTTTCTCTTTATGCCCGTTTTATTACCCTTCCTTACTTCTCCTTTTTACCCCATATCTTTCTCTAATCATGGAAAAAGGCTCATGGTGCGGTGTTTACTGTTTTAGCAGGGTAGGATCTCAAGAAGGCCGGCGTTCGATTCAGATCTGTTTCTTTTTGATCAGATATCTCTTTGCATATTGGCCTGGTTGTTGGTCTTCGGGTTACCGGTTTGATTCCATTTCTTCTTTTCTGTCCGTTATATTCGATTCCCTGTTCCTGTTACGAGGCGTCCTCCTTGGATACCCACATCAGTGTGTTCGAGCGGCACCTGGAAGAAGAAGAGATAAGGTGTGCAGCTCACATGTAGGATTAACTCTAGAAAAAAAAACTATCCTGATGAAAGACCCAAACAGAGATGATGAAACCCAGATTTATTAAGTCTTCAAAAATGCCGCCAGTGACCCAAACTCGCGCGCTGACCTGCTATGGAAAACACAAACCTACTCCTCCCAACCATTACGAAGAACTCCAAAAAATGCAACTATGCTTTGTACGCCGTGTTTCGATGAATCATGAATTGAAGATCCGGCTGTAGAGCAGCTCATGCCTCCCGACCCACAGATCCAGCGGTGGGACGATTTGGCCTGCGTCTTCGACGGGGGTATCCCACTCCCTCTCGATTCGTTCGGTGATCATGTCTTGCAGACGCTGGCTGGCCAGCACGCTCTGGGCCTGATACGGCCCCATCACGGACGCGCGCACCGCCGCGCTCAGCACCGCCTTCGCATGGTTCAGCATGAACACATACGCCGTCTGCCGGGCATCCATGCCCATGGCCAGACACACCACCCCCCACAGCGGCGCCAGATGACCCTTCGGCCCCAGCTCTTCCGCCGTGTCCCCGCACGACTTCAACGCGTCCGAGAACTCCGCAATGGCTCGCACGGCGGCCGCGGCCGCCGGGGCCGCGGTCGTCCCCACGCTGGCGTAGGTGGCCCGGAACGAACGCTCCCACACCCCGATCAACGCCCGGCCCTGGGCGAGACTGGCCCGCTGCGCGACGATGCACGGCGTCGAGGCGTCCATGTCGTTGTCCAGGGTCTCCAGGTCCTCCGGGTATCGGTATGCGGCCAGCACGTAGGGGATCGAGGTGCTGGCCATGGAGGCGATGGAGAGTTTCAGGAAGCGGTGGAAGGAGGCCACCGGGGTGATGGTGCGGGGGAGGGGCTTGTTGTGGGCCAGGTAGGATTCCAGGCCGCTGGAGTACGCGAAGGAGCCGAGCGGAAGGGCGGAGTCGGAGAGCAGGAGGAACGCGTGCGAACTTAGGATTGAGGGTGTGGCTGTGGGGTTTGTCTCTAATTTGGTGAATATGGAAGTTAGTGCTCTGTCTGTGAGAGAGAGGGAATGGTCGTTGATGGGGTACGTACCCTTGGGGAGAGTCACTCCGAAGTCATCGTCGTCGTCGGTGCGCAGCGGTAGCGATGTGGAAGGAGAAGAGGATGCCAAAGCCAGCCGTTTCCTGGCATGAAGTAGACGGGATTCAAGATCGAGGATCTCTTGCTCTAGGTCCTGGGGTGTGGTTTTGACAGCCATTTGCGCTCACAGTGATGAATGTGTCCAATGCAAGAGGAGGGTCTTGAGAAAGCAGAAAAGGGGACGACGGGACAATTCATGATGCCTGGCAAGGGGGGGAAGTGGCGCTTTGTTATACCTCACGCCTTTCCCTTCCGCGCCGCGCCTTTTTTTCCTTTCCCCTTATCGGTTGATGTGCCGATAACGGGTCCCATCGGGCTCGGAGCTGGCCGGGTGAAAGTCGAGATAAGTTAAGGTAAATGAGATACGTAAGAAGCCAAGTTTTTCCGCGGTGAGAACCGGCAGAAAAGCCACCGCTCGGCCCGCTTCGGTCGCGTGCGGGAATTGAGATGCGGTCATTCCTGTTTCTGGGTAAACGATCAGTCTCTTGGTCGAATTATGCACAGGGAATAAGCCTTGGAATTGACCGGGCTACCATTCACGAGAAGACACGGATAATGTCGGGCAAGCGTCTGTTGGACGTGATCCAATTGTGCAATGTCGCTGGTACGGTGGCGGCGAGGCACCTCGCAATCCGCCAACGCCAGATAGATCTATACACCCGCACTTCCTCCCTCACCAAGGGGATCAAAAGCCAGGTTGACGGCCTGTGCTTATCGGCCCAAGCGGCAGCGGCGCTGGCAAAGCGCTTCAATGAACCCGATCCATCTCCTCCGTCTGAATCAGCACCCACGACCGTATCGAGCCACGCAGAGTCCACACCGAGCAGCTCCAGTAATGCGACAACCGATATCTCCTCAGCTAAGGCGAGGCAAGCACAACGACAGGCGGAAGCTCAGATACCTTCGACTGTAGCGGATCACAAAGGAAGCGGGCAGGCTAGTGGCTTGGATGTCAGTAAGCAACAGGATGTGTTCTATGAACCCTCCAAGCACACGACGGCGGGCGACTCGGGCCTTCCTCGGATGAAATTGCCCAAGTCGGCAAACGATACGCAGGTCGGTGGTGATAGCGAGATCAATGCGGATGTCTTTCAATCACCGGTGAAGACCGCCTCGGTTGATCAATCGGCAACCACCACTGCGACCGAGCAGACTGAGATTCCGGATGAGATGATGAAGGATTTATTTCACAGTCCTAAGGTCGCAAGGATCATGTCTCGGAAGCCGGCTGCGGATATGAGATACAATCAGACGGGCACAGTGTCTGGAACAAAGGATGCAAGGCAAGTTGAACAGGACAAAGAGGAAGCGCGTGCCGTTGGGGAGATGCTCGCAGAAGCGACGGCAACGGTATGTTGCGTAATGCAGTTTGACCCCGGAATAGATGGATGCTGACATTCGTATGCAGACTGAGCCTGAAACTGCAGCGGCACTGAAGAACCCAGATACATACAAGATGGTCGAGTCTCGCGTGCCGTCATCCCGCCTTGGGAGGTTATGGCAATACGGCGGCCTGGCCACTTCGATGGCTTGGGGCGCTATGGGGGAAGGTCTCCGAAGGGTCACAGGAAGTCAGGTAGAATCCTCTGGATCCCTCATGTTCAGTGCTGGGAATATGGAGCGGCTTGTCGCGAAGTTGTCAAAGATGCGTGGTGCAGCCCTCAAATTGGGACAGATGATGAGCATTCAGGGTAAGCACACCGTTGAATTCAATCGTTTAATACTGACCAAGTTTACAGACACCAACATGCTACCAGAAGCAATTCAACAAGTTCTCCAACGAGTCCAAGACCGAGCAGACTACATGCCTGCCTCTCAACGCGATAAGGTGCTAACCGATAACCTCGGTCCTGACTGGCGCGACCTATTTTCCTCATTCGATGACGTTCCCATGGCCGCCGCCTCCATTGGCCAAGTGCACAGCGCCGTTCTCAAACGCACCGGCCAGCCCGTAGCCGTCAAGATCCAATACCCTGGCGTAGCCGACTCCATCGACTCTGACCTCAACAACCTCTCGATCCTACTAACAGCATCCCGCCTCCTGCCCCGCGGCCTTTACCTCGATAAGACCATCGAGAACGCCCGCGTCGAGCTCGCATGGGAATGCGACTACATCCGCGAAGCCGAATCGGCGAACCGCTTCCGCGAGCTCCTCCGCGACGACCCAGTCTTCCTCGTTCCCGAAATCATCCCCGAGGCGTCCGGCAAGCAGGTGCTGACCATGGAACGCCTGGAAGGCATTGCGGTGACCAAGATCCAGGACTTCACGCAGACCCAGCGCGACTGGATCGGCACGCAGATCATGCGCCTCTGCCTCCGCGAGATCATGGAGTTCCGGTACATGCAGACGGACCCCAACTGGACCAACTTCCTCTACAACGCGCGCACCGACCGCCTCGAGCTCCTGGACTTTGGCGCCTCGCGCGAGTATCCGACCGAGTTCATCCAAAAATACATCCGCACCCTCGTCGCCGCCACCAGCAACGACCGCGAGGCCTGCCGACATTTCTCCCGCGAGCTGGGCTACTTGACCGGCCACGAAAGCAAGGAGATGGTTGACGCCCACGTCACCTCCGTCATCACCCTCGCCGAGCCCTTCATGCAAAGCTCGCCCGATGTCTACGACTTCCGGAACCAGACGATCACCGATCGCGTGCGCGCGTTGATCCCCGTCATGATCAGGGAGAGACTCACCCCTCCGCCGGAAGAGACGTATAGTCTGCACCGGAAGTTGAGCGGGGCGTTCTTGCTCTGTGCTAGATTAGGAAGTCGGGTTCCTTGTAAGAATTTGTTCGAAGAGGCGACTCGGAACGCGGAAGAGAAGGGTTTGGTTTGGCGGGATTCAAAGTGAGTGCTTGGGGCTTATCGTAGAAGTGGACTGTTCGGTGGATTGTTACTAGCTTCGCAGGTTGGGAGGATTCTCAACTCTTGTATATTAGGAAAGATGCCGTGTATGAATATGAGCATGACTTTGCATAATCCGCTCGATGTGTTCATGACCGATTGTATGTACAACCGGATAGACTAGCAGATCCACAGGCGCACAATAGCAGTTTACCAAACACGACACTGATAGAGCCAGTGCCCGCTCAGTGGGCGAATTAGAGCTCTAGGCGAAACCCTCCAGTCCGGGGGTAATTCATTAGCTATATTCAAGCGACGGCGCGCAGTACTAATGACATACGTATCACTCCCACCATCGTCCCCCATACATCGCTTTATAGTACTTCTTGACCCTCTTGCAGATCCCCTTCTTCCCGTTCCAGGCACGGAACCTCCCCTCAAGCTCGCACGCCGTCCATCGGATCTCCTCCCAGAACTCCTTCTCGACATCCCTCCCAAGCGCCTGGATGATATCCGGCGGACCTGTCCAGGCGCGGGTGTAGCGGCCGTCATTCCCGATGGCGGGATTGACTTCATGTTCGTCGAAGATGGTGGATGGGTCGAATTTGGGGTAGTTTGCGTGGATGAAGAAGGCCTTGGTACGCGTACCGCTGGTGGTAGGCAAGAAGGAACCGTGCGCTTGGTGTTTCTGCTGCTGTTTTTGTTTTTGTTGCTGCCGCTTTATTGTCTGATTGTGGGAGTGGTAGTCTTCTGTAGGATCGAACTGGACCATCGCCGACCCGGCGAAACCGTGTTCGGTGGTGTGGCCGATGGCGCAGATCGGCTCGGTGACTTGGTAGTGCGGCTCCCTGAGGGTCAGGGCTGCTGTCACGAAGGTCTCCTTGTCGCCTTCGCCGGCGGCGCCTTGCGAGAGCAGTGGGTAGTAGAAGTCCGGCCCGTGGATGTTGTAGTAGGTGCTGAGGAGGAGAGTTTTCAAGTGCGTGTGCTTCGAGATTAGCACTTCGCCAGATTCGCTGGATTGGCGGGCAAATGGCTCCGGAGCAGGCTGCTCCGTGATCTCGTAGTAATAGGGTGAGATGGTCGAGGCCCAGAAATCGGGCCAGGTAATCATGTGCTGCGTGAGGAAGGGCTCGCTGGTGAAGAGGTCGTCCGGGGGGAGGAGGGCGTAGGCGTCCGCGTCGAGGAACAGGATCTCTTCGAAGGACGAAAATAGCATGGCGAAGAGCTTGAATTGATATTTCTGGATCTGGAGGGGGTGGGAGATGGCGTTGAGGATTGTGGAGAGGATAATACATTGTGCATTCAGGGTGGGCAGGACCTCCTCGCAGATGTACTTCTCGTACTCTTCTTCGCTGGCGAGGAAGACCTCGACCGGGAGCTGCGAGCCTGTTCGTCGGAGCATGCGAAGTGAAATGACGAACACGGGAAGATAGGAGCCTCCTGCGGTTGAGACGAGACCGCGTGTGTTGTGGGTATAGTCCAGTTGCGGTGGGTTGGTCTGGATCGCGTTTATGAAGCCGCTGTGCGTCTGTTTCAAGTCTTCAACGTCCATGGGAAGAAGATCGAGAAACTCGGGCCGCTCATAGGGGTCTGCTTGTTCGAATCTTATTGAGGGTGCCATCCCCAATCTCAAAGGTGGTAGGCATTTCGGCTCGTAGGTAGTGAGCAGGGGCTGAAATTGACGCCAGAACCTGATGTGGCCCTCGACATCATAACGCCAGCTGAGACGTGTCTGTTTCTCTGGATCTGAATGGGTGATGGAGGTGGCCTCGGACTCTCTACCCTGATTGTACCAGCGCGAGAAAGGCTGACTGCATAGTAACAAGGCGAAAAGTGCAAGTAAAATGGTACGGATGCGCAACACTGCGCGGCTGGGAAACATAGCTCTCTCAGACTTATATAGGTCTCCCAATGCTACGGATTTTGTGGTTCGGTGAGCACCTCATGCATCAATTTGTATTGTGATTCTGTCACACCAAGCGGCGGCGAGGTTATACAATCTCAAGATTATCGGCAGAGCGGACCAAATAAAATATCTGTTTATTGGTGCTGCATGATAACCCGACGCTTTTCGACCGGCGTGTTAGGGAGACACGAGAGGCAGGCCACTGTCAAGGGCATACGAAGTCATTGAATGGATAAACAAATTAGGACATAGGTATATGTCTAGGGGAAAGAGGCCAAAATATGGGCGTGGCACAAGCAGATATGAAGGCTTAAAAATATTAGATTCAGAATCGAGTAATAAGGTAGCAGGCTTGTCGGCAATGCCATAATGAGAACGAATGATGATGCTGCGATACAACTTTCGCGGAAACGCCGGGTATGACGCTCTTCATTATCGTCCCATGCCCGATGTCACCATAGACCCGACCGGCGATACCCACGTCGATTTGAGGTAATCAACACAGGTTACAAGCGATGAAGCATGTATGAAGGAACCAGAGTTCACAGCTTGAATATGATTAAGGTATCGTGAGTCTTTGCACATTTGTCATCTCGATATAGTTGAGGTGGTGAGACATAAAGGAAAGAATGTAGGAAGTAGGATGCACCTATTCGGGACGACGATTTTGTGCTAGGGTTGCATTCCCCATATCTTCAACCGGTAACCGTACCGCAGGGCCAGACCCCCAACCACAGCGTTACTAATGAAGTGCTGATCAGACATATTTTGCCGAAGAGTGTCTTTGAACTGTCCACTGCCAGAGGATCCATTACTCTATGAATCCATGACATGTCATGTATGCCAGTGCCTTGATTTGGGTTCTCAGGAGCGCTACCTGGAACGGCTCGTGCTTCGGCTGGCTTCCTCCTCCTCGACAATCGTGTCGGCTAGAAGGGCGGCTTTATTCACATCCCGTGAGGCTTGTCTCCCATGCCAGGCTGTGAAGTAGTCATCTTCGGTACTGACAGTGCTTGATGAAGGCGTTGTCTTCACCATGCTATCGGGGCCGTCATCATTGTCCCCAAAGAACTTTCTAGCAGCAATACTCAGTGTGAATTTGACCAGTCGATCAGCTGTTTCGACGGTCAATGTAGTCGTGCCGAATAAGAAAACTCCAATCCCAATCCCTGCCAGGATGGCAATTGTGAGGAAGACAAACAAGGCCTGTGACCATCGCATAAGCTCTCTGCCTTTTCCGCAGGTGGTGAGATCTCAGAAGCATGGAGTTCGGGTGTACCTCAAATCTAGCAAGAATTCTCAGAGGTATCAAGGCGACATGGAGCAGAAGATAGCCCAGTGCTACCAATGGCGAGGTCAAGATGCGTAGTAGTCTATATGCCCAGATCGCTAGGTAAACAATTGGAAAGAATAAGGCATTGAAGCCGCCTCGCAGAATCGACACCCAAGCCATCGGCTCAGCACAGCATAGACAACTCCACCCGTCACGATTGAATTCACCTTAGTCGTTTCGACAGCAATGAGGAATTCAAAACTGTATCGGATGCGTTTGGAATGTCCATGTCGAAAAGAGGAATGACGATGGCAGTCCGTCTACGTTAAGCGGTCGCGGGTGGCAGAACTGCGGATATTCCCCGCGATTTTCTAGTTTTTTAGAGCAAATGGAATGCATTCCCGGTGGGAAGAAAAGATAATCGTTGAGGGAGCTGAGGAGACTTTGCGCGAATTGAGATATAACACAGATTAAGCAGCTGAAGCTGAAGCATTCTCGAGAATCTCTTGTCTGCGGTAAGCCTTACCCTCATCCTCGGTACATATAGCAAGGACCATCTATCACTGTCCGGAGCGAAGGCCGATCCAAAGCGGGGATTACAGGCGGAGATTGCAGGCGATGAGCCCTAAGCCCTAAGTATACATTTCTGGCCCCGACTTGTCTCCTCTCTAGTACTAGTCTGGGGTCGACGACATCGACATCATCACGGCAACCATCAGCACTCCCCGTTGCGATTATCCTCCGCCCCAACTTTGTTGATCTGGACTCTTTTGACCTAAGCTACCTCTGCTGCTTTCTTTCTCTCATTCATCGCGCTTTATACGTCGATCATTTCAAGGTGTTCCCCACCCATCTACCCATTTCCTATTATTCTCGGAACTTCATTACCCCTCCGCCTTCAGAGGCCGTTCTCCGGATGCTGGCATCTTGTTTTATGCGCGCTTCCTGATCACTCTCTGTGCAATATTTCACCAGCATCCTCACATCCCAACTTTCACTCCTTGAATCCTAAGTCCTAAGCGCCTCAACAAAATACTTTCAAATGGGTAACAACCCTTCCAAGGGCCCAGCCGGAGACGCCCAAGCCCCTTCGGGTCAATCGGGCCTAACGGCAAGTGACAAGAGGGTACATCGCCGACCTTCGGTCAATGCCTCATCGGGCACCCCTAAGGCTACCGTAGCCGATCCTTCCGCCACCAGAGAGACCGCAAAGGGTTATCCAACGTCACAAAATCATCAGTCTGTCCAACAGCGCCTACAATCCCGCAATGTCGCCGACTCTGCGACACGAAACGCAGATCGTCCGACTCCCAAGAAAGCTGACCTTCGCGATGGGGACATTCCTTCTCCTGATCCTTCCAATCCCGTTCAGGTTCCTGGATCTCGCACCGCTGCTATGACCGACCCCATAGCGCCCTCTGGTGCGCCTCCCAATGTATACTACAGCGCCTCCGTCCATCTCCAGCGCCCACCGCGGATGCCGCTCCCAATTGGTGATGCTACAGCCGTTGGTCCAGAAGATAGTTATCTGGGGTCGCTGCCCGTCGACCAGCTACTAGACGAACAGATCGAGCAGAGACACCCGAGTCAAGGCAGTACCACAGTCGAGGATGACGAGATATTGGACGAGCTTCAACCTTTCACTCCAAGCGGCGTAGGAAGGGCAGTGCCTACAACCATTGAGTGGACTGGTCCTGGGGACAAGGTCTATGTCACTGGAACGTTCGTCAATTGGGAAAAGAAATTCCGTTTACACAGAAGGTACGTGACCGCCCAGATACGGACGCCAGCGGTAGATGCTCGGCCGTGCCTCAGCTCTTGCAAAGTACTCTCAGATTGCTTTGCGCTTGGCGGAAGAGTTGACGCTGCTGCTTCTTGCGACCGTTACTGGCATCGAGGTGCTTGGCTTCTGATGACTGATTGATACCTCTTGGCGCAGTGAGAACAACCCAGGCGTCATGTCCGCCAGACTTAATCTTCGGCCGGGTACTCATCACCTGAAGTTCATTGTTGACAATGAGATGCGTGCTTCTGATACACTTCCCACTGCCGTGGACTTCACCAACCATTTGGTCAACTATATCGAGATTAGTGCAGATGATATCAACCGGGGCCGGAGAGAGAGCGATAAAGGCTCTGTTCCCCCGGGTGTCCGTCCACCTCAAGTCCTGCCTGACCTCGCCAGTACCGATCAGGAAGGCGGTTCTACCGTGGACGATCAATCCGATAAGGAAGAACCAGAGGAGGAGATACCTCTTGGCGATTTCCGTGGTATAATCCCTCAGTTTCTTCTCGATCTGGATAGAGAAGAGGAGGCCCCCGAGTATCAGCAAGCGGTCAATATTGTTGGCGATGCTCCGACACCACCAAGTCTGCCACTTTTCCTCGGAAAGTCCATCCTGAATGGCACTACACCAATGAAGGATGATAGCAGTGTTTTGAATTATCCCAATCACACAGTGCTGAATCACCTTGCTACCAGCAGCATCAAGAACGGCGTTTTGGCCACTAGCGTGACCACGCGGTACAAGCGAAAGGTATGTTCGTTGTTTATGATCCGAACTTTGTATATGGATAGTATTGACTCGAGCTTATGTAGTATGTTACGACAATTCTGTACAAGCCAACGGGAGATATCTCGGAGTAAGTAAAGATAGATTTGGTCCCTTAACTGCCCCTCCTCAGTCTGGCCGCATGAGCATGAGTATTCGCTCAACAACCCAAACCAATATGGAGTCTGTATCATTTGGGGATGTGGCTCTCTGTATAACTCATCGATATGAATTAGATGATATTCAGAATCATGGAAGGTTGACTTCCATTGCTTTTTCTCCTGATGAAGTCTATATTGTCATAGATACACATGCACTCCGGCATGTAAGCAGAACGTACTGGATCGTGGTATGTCTCATAATTGTTTGAGACAATGAATATGAGGCGCAAGAGTTATGCTTTCCTGTTCATTATAGCTTGTCCGAGGCGATGCATGACTCGCGATGAGGATTGGCTGGTAACTGGGCCCTTCGCCTAGTCTTTTGAGACCCAGCCAACGAATCCATGTCACTTAGGCATTCCCATTTTCTCTAAATATGTGGATATGGTGTTTGTCCATAACTACCTCATGTCTCATTCCTCAGTCAGCACTGAGGGTCAGTTATTCCACGAATGACGAATTGTCTTGGCGTCGTCGCGAAAGACTATCTAGCGTCTTTCTGAATCGATAAAATAGAGAAAAAGCGAGGAGTAGAATAGATTTTGACAACCTGCATCTGTGCTACTGGCTATTTAGCAACAATATTGTGGCTTGTAAGGGCCGAACCCTGCGGCCTTAAAAAAGAAAATTGTCTAACCTCTATTATTTTGTATCATAAGAATCATTACTCTTGCGGGTACACAGCGCATAGTTCAGTCCCTCCATTTCACCAACACCTCGTCGGTACGGAACCGTTGCGTGCAAGTAGCGTCTTTGAGTGGCGTCCGGAACCCAGTCTTGTAAGCCATCAGACCGGCCTGGGCGATCATAATGCCGTTGTCGATGCAGTATCTCTCATCCGTGGCATGCACCGTGCCCCCACGGTCCCGAGCCATAATGCCCATCATCTCCTGCAGTCGCTCATTGCATCCGACACCGCCAACTATCAGGACTTCCTTCGATCCCACATGCGCCATAGCACGCTCCGTGATCTCCACCAGCATGGAATAGACGGTTTCCTGCAGCGAGAAACACAGATCGGCACGAGTCGGTTTCCCACCGTCGGCTGCCTCCAGGGCAGGGCCCGTGCTCTCTTCCTTCTCGTTCCACTCCCCGTTGAGCCCGTACTGCACGGCCAGCGCATCGATCGCCGCCAGAACTCCGGACATGGAAATGTCCATCCCCTTCACGGTGTAGGGCAGGTCCATGAGTCGCTTGCCCTTCTTCGCTAACTGTTCAATGTTATAGCCCGGCGCGGGGTCATTGGAGATGTGTAACGTGCGCGCGAAGCGATCCAGACAGTTTCCGACGGCGATATCAAGGGTCTCGCCGAAGATCCGGTAGCGCTGGGAGCTGTATGCGATCACTTGCGTGTTGCCGCCGGAGACGTAGAGGACGACGGGGTTCTGGGCGCCAGTGATGGCGCGGCCCATTTCGATATCTGTCATGCTTCATGGTTAGCCATGCAGTGGAGCAAGGGTATTCTTGAAGAGGGTCGAGGTGGGTAAAAAGGGGCAGATGGAGAGAGATAGAGATAGTAGGGGAGGCCAATGCGTCTTTCCCCACATGGTTTTCCCCTGTGGAAAAGAATCTTGATAACAATCTTGCAGAGGAACTGGTGGTAAGAGAACATACGTCCAACACAGTGGTTCACGCCCACAAGCTCCTTGCCCCAGAGGAGACTTAACATGCGCGCGGCAATGGCGCAACTCTGTAGGGGGGCGCCCATGCCGGGACCCTTGGTGTAACAGATGCAGTCGACATCCTTGACGGTGATGCGCGCATCTTGCAATGCTTGCTTGACCAGTTTCACCACCCAGGCGCGATGGTGGCGGGCGGTGTCCTTGGGGAGAAAGCCCTCGCCGGGAGGGGTAACATAGGTGTGCCGAACATTGGCAAGCACCTGCGGGGTGCTGCCATCCTCCGGGTGGAAGATAATGCCCACCCCGATTTTGTTGGCTGAGCCCTCAATACCAACGGCAATCATGGTGAAAGGCAGGTGTACAAAATTGGCTGGGATCCTGCGACAGAGGTTGAGCAGATTGATCAAAATGACCCGTGATTCTAATCTTCTGGAAAACCACACCGTTCGGAGAAGCTGTCAAAAAATGAATTGAAGGCCGGGTCGAGCCAGTCGCGGAGGGGCAAATTCGGTGCTGGTTCGGCTTTATCAGCAACGTTATCGATTGGTTGCCCGAGTCTGGGACGGCAAATCCGCCGCAGCGTTTATCCGACGGGTATAGACTGTCACTTACTAGTAGGTAGGTGTATCAGAGTCGCTAACTAATTGTGAGTGAGTACTACTGAACCCACCCCCCATTTTCTCGTCATTCTCTTTTACCATTCTCTCCCCCCCCCTCTCCTCTCGTGACACTTCATCAACCACGCCATATCTCTCTCCAGCCCCTTTCCCCTGTTTTGCTCGACTTCAAGTCCCTCTCCCCTTGATTTTCTGCGGCAGCCAGACTGTGGGGTTTCTCAATTTCCTTTTTCTTGGTGTGACGGCCATCCCACACCACACAACTCTCAACCTCTCTTGTTCCACACCATGTCCTCTTCCATTCATTTCCCAGACCCAAACCGCTTTCAGCAACAGTCAGATGAGTTTCTCACCTGGCTATCTGGCCTACCGGGTGTCAAGTTGAATCCCAAGATTCAGATCGCTGACTTAAGGGCTAGCGGCGCCGGCCGAGGTGTCGGTATGTTTCCCATCCTCCCTGAACGAGATTTTTGTCCCGCATCGGTCGTGTCTCATTGAAATTCTGCATTCTGCAAGACTTTACCCCTCTCTGATATTCTCCTGTCACTTTACAGTGGCTCTGTTCGATCTCGAAGAAGGCGAAGAGCTTTTCACCATCCCACGCGCCCATGTCCTCTCGGTCCAGAATTCAAAGCTAAAGGACCTGATCTCTCAGGACTTGGAGGAGCTTGGACCATGGCTCTCTCTCATGGTAGTCATGATCTATGAGTTCCTTCGCGGTGATCAATCCACCTGGGCGCCGTACTTCCGAGTTCTTCCTCGGAATTTTGACACTTTGATGTTCTGGTCCCCCGCTGAACTTGCGGAGCTCCAAGGCAGCGCTATCGTGGACAAAATTGGACGGCAGGACGCAGAAGAATCAATCCTCGAGTCCGTAGCCCCCATCGTACGAGCAAATCCTTCTCTTTTCCCTGCCATCGACGGTCTGGCCTCTTACAATGGGGACACCGGTGCTCAAGCACTCCTTAGCCTCGCTCATACGATGGGTTCACTTATTATGGCCTATGCGTTCGACATTGAGAAGCCTGAGGATGAGGATGAGCGCGATGGAGAAGACGGCTACGTCTCAGATGAAGAAGAAGGACAATCGTCTAAGGGTATGGTTCCCTTAGCCGATCTGCTCAACGCAGATGCCGATCGGAATAATGTGGGTGACCTTCAATTCCCCTTTGCGATCTCCATAGCATAGCGCTAACTAACACCCTTCGGCAGGCTCGCCTCTTCCAAGAGGAAGAAACCCTGGCCATGAAAGCAATCAAGCCCATCAAACCTGGCGAGGAGATTTTCAATGACTATGGGGAGATTCCCCGATCTGACCTTCTGAGACGGTACGGCTATGTTACCGACAACTATGCTCCGTTCGATGTCATCGAGCTGCCCCTTAGCCATATATGCCAGGCTGCGGGCCTGGAAAACGCTGATATCGAGTCCCAACCTCCGGTATATCCCTACACTCGGTTCTGCTTCAGCGTATCAATGCTAATTGTGCTCCAGCTCCAATTCTTGGAAGAGTTAGAACTCCTTGATGACGGTTACACCATCCCAAGACCCTCTCCTGAGGACCAGTTGACAGATATTCTGCAGGATGAACTGCTCCTGCTGCTCAAAACCTTGACTCTGTCGCCAGAACTTCTGCAGAAGCAAGTATCGAAGAACAAACCTCCCAAGCCGACCTTTGGCGAAGCGGAAGCTACGATACTTGGCAGAGCGCTGGAGCTCAACCAAGCACAATACGTAACAAGCATTGCTCAAGACCAAGAGATTCTCGCCCAGCTGCGCCAGTCGGCCGCCTTTGGTGCCGTTGACAACTTCCTACGCCGCAAGGCCATGGCTGTTCAAGTCCGCCTCGGCGAAAAAGAAGTTCTTCAGGGACTGTTCACGATTCTCAATAACCAACTCACCAACCAGGCTAACGGATCCGCGGCCAAGCGCCCTGCCAACGGTGACCACGACGACTCGAGACGAGCCAAGGCTTTCAGAACTTGATGCTCGCCAACATCACGCTTGTTTGACTATATCCAGAATTTTCAGAAAAGTCTTCATTTCTTCTTTTGTCTTAATTGATATTATTCTTGATTTTCTTCGTTGCTGACTTCATCGCTTCGCTATCCGTACAGAGTCTATCGACTGCTCAAGTGAAGAAGGAAAAGAGAAACAAAACAGGCTATGTACAGTGGCAATTGCATAAGGTCAAGGGTCATGTCATAAGCAAAGCGCATGCATCCGGCAACATTAGCCTGGATCTCATATGCTTTCCGGCGGTCACCGGAAGAAATAAAGGGGTGACGAGGGTATGGCGTGAGTAAAAGTACAGGTGGGGTAGAAGGCGCAAAGATGGCAGATAAAGCCTGCGGGATGCTGAACGTGGCGCAGAAGGATATTAAAAGGATACGGGGTGAAGGTAAAAGAGAAGGGAGAGGAGAAACGAGAGAGAGATCCAGCTCAAGTCTCAGACGCGGAGACAGCGGCACCAGGCCCGGGAATAGATCCCCCTGCTTGCCCCCCGCTTGATGGATTGTTGTTAGCTGTGGCCTGTTCGGCCTGCAGCCTCCGTTGGGCTTGGGCCTGGGCTTGGACTTGAGCCGCCTGCGCCTGCGCATGCGCTTGAGCCGCTGCCGCTGCCGCTTGATCGCGAGCTTTGGCTGCCATGATGGCTCGATGTTGCATGATTTGGATGTCGAATTGGTCCCTCTCATAATCGAGCTCCTCATCTGAATCCTCCTGATCGTACTTGAATCGATCAGCCTTCCACGGATCCATCTCAACTCTACAGCGAGCCGCAAGGTTTCGGCGATCGATGAACAAACGACCCCCGCGTCCTATACGTCTCCGGAATGAGGGCATCTTGCTCGTGTCCTCACTCAGTTCCATGGCATGGGGAGCTAATTTATTCTGGAGGGCAATGGGACTGCGGGTATCTATGGCTGAGTCCGTCATATTGTCGGACGACTCCGATGATGGTGGCGTTGGCAATTGGGTGGTGATTGCAGGGCGGAAAGCAGCAGCATCGAAAGTCCGGTCAGGCGACGGGGAGAGCGGCGCTCGTGTGAAATCCACATAGCCCTCGTTCCACTTGATGTGCTTCGTGATGTTCTGCTTGATGTCGCGGATAATCTCGTTCTCTTTCTCCGCCTGGACATCTTCCAGCAATTGCAGGTCTTCTGCTGGCTGCGTGCCCGCCTTGGGGGGCATGCGCAGTTGTTGAGGCGCCGGGCGCTGCACAGCAGGTGCTTCGACCGGCTTCTTCTTTGGCTGGTTGCATGGTTAGTCATTACGGTTTGAGAGTAGGTCTCGACCATGCTTACCCTCTGGTTGATGAGGTCCTCGTCATCGTCTTTGATATTGAGTTTCCTCTTCATATCCTTGACCTCGGATCTCTGGAGGAAGACCTGCCGCTCGACGGCAAGCATCTCCTTGCGCGCTAACTCACGCTGACGCACAAGGGCAACCAACTGCCGAGCATCTTCCAGTTCCTTTCTAAGTCGTCGCAACTTGTCCGCGCTTTGCGCATCTCTGCCGCGAGTTTTGCGGGTCTGCCGCACCTCACGCCTGCGAAAGCAGACGTATGGGTCGGTATCATCCGCTTCCCGACCAGCTTCAGCCTGTGAACAGTTAGCAGACTGAACGACCAGTTTCCTGTGATGCGCCCGGGACTCACCTTGGGTGTTGGGAGCAGGGGCTCATTCCCACCGCTGATGCGTCGCGACTTCCAGTAGTCGTATATGTCCTTGGCGAAACGCTTTACGCTGTCGTCTACGGCTGGATCCATCGCCTCCTGGAATTCATCGAAGCTCATGACCGGGGAGTTATCTACACAAGCATACGGCTGCTCTTTCCTTGACGTCAATTCGAAGAAGCTCATGACCTCCTCGAAGTTGTCTTCTGTGCATTGGCTGGCGGCATCGCGCTTTTGGTTGAAGTTCTTAAGGAACACATCATCGTCTTCGTTCATGCAATATGGAGGTCCGCAGCAGTCCTCGACGGTGGAGGAAAAGCGAATATATGTCGCAGGCTGCGAAAAGACTGGGGGGTAGAGCTCATCATATCGGAGATTACTGAGGACGGTCTCCGGGGTCGGAATGTGGGCATCTTTTACTTTGCCCTGCGCAGCGGCACTGATGGCGACCTGCAAATGGAATTCCTGTAGAACGTAGGGGTCAGCGGGCTGTGGTTGCGACTCTTGCTGGCGGGTGCAGAATTTTCACGATGGGGTGAGGTCCGCGGTGATGTCACGTGACATATGCAGGGATGCTAGTGATATATGGGGGAGAACACGACTCACCGACTCCTCCGCCTTCTCGACACCGGTCTCAATCTGTTGAAGGGCATTTTGGATCTCGTCCTCGATGAGATCTATTTCATGTTCGCGGACTATGGGGATGGAGGCCTTGGAGGTGAGCTTTTTCGGGCGCGTCCTCCCCATACCCCCGTACCGAGTCATACGAACTTTGGGGCGCGAGATGGGCCGATGACCATGGGATGGGGGACCCAAAATTGGTATCAGCAGATAGGTCTAATCATGCGAAAGCGCGTAGATGTATTTTCGTGATGATAGTCGATGGGTAGGTGGGTGATATCGACGATGCAAATCTCGTAGTCTTAGCACTGGCGGATGAGTTGACGTTGCAATGTCACCCGGCAGTGGCCTGTTTTGGACCGGTGCACGGCCTCAGGGGTTCGCTTGCCTGACTGTTTCGGGTTAGTGCGGGGCTGGTCGATATCAAAGTGCCGTTTTGGTCTACATGGGTTGCCCGGAGTCGTAGTTGCCGCCGCCGCTCAGTCGCATCCCTCAATTTCCATCCCGCATTCGGCACTCATCTAGATTTATTGCAACTGAGTTCCTAGAGAGAGATAGAGAGTCTGTTTCGGATTTCTGGGTCGCGAACTGTCATTGTCGCCTCGATTTGCGCGTGTTTATTCCAGGTTGAATCCCTTTGAATAGACAACAAGAACAATCATTCACCCACCCTTCCTTGCGGCCACCCCTTCACATTCCGTCCAAAACAAAAGCCCACACACACCATGGACCATTCCAGTGAGCCCAACAATGCCGCCCTGTACGATGCGCGCCGTCGCAGGGGCTCGGTCGGCACCTCTCAGCTTTTCGAAAACATTGTCTCTGCCTCCAACTGTGGGTTCACACTTTTAGGGAGTTGGTTACCGCCGGATACTGATGATCTATAGTCGATCGCGATGAGGTCGACCGTCTCCGCAAGCGCTTCATGAAGCTGGATAAGGTGCGTCCTGTTTGTGTATACTCCTTTACAAGACCGCATACTGATAGTGCTCTGTGATTCAATAGGACAGCTCCGGTACCATTGATCGCGATGAATTTCTCTCTCTGCCTCAAGTTTCATCCAACCCTCTCGCCACAAGGTACGCCTTTCTTTCTGTTATCGTCACCCATCAGACAACTATACAAGTCACTTCTCGCCTCTCTCTCCCCTCCCGCTTTTACCCCTCCTCCGTCACCACTCTCCCATCTCAGTTGGAACACACATGACCGACCCTAACACACGTCTCCAACAGGATGATCGCCATCTTCGACGAAGATGGCGGCGGCGACGTCGACTTCCAGGAATTCGTGTCCGGGCTATCGGCCTTCAGCTCCAAGGGCAACAAGGAGGAGAAGCTGCGGTTCGCTTTCAAGGTGTACGACATCGACCGCGACGGATACATTTCCAACGGCGAGCTGTTCATCGTGCTGAAGATGATGGTCGGCAATAACCTGAAGGACGTGCAGCTGCAGCAGATCGTCGACAAGACGATCATGGAGGCCGACAAGGATGGCGACGGCAAGATCAGCTTCGAGGAGTTCACGGAGATGGTGGAGAATACGGATGTTAGCTTGAGTATGACGTTGAGTATGTCTCCCCTTCCTTTTGTCTTCTTTCCGGATGATGCTAACCTGCTGGGTGTATAGACCAGATCTAGATGTCAGGTGCGAGGTGGTATATCTATAGTTGGAAGTTGAGCGTGTGGTTGTTTGATTGATTCTAATTCTGTGGGTACTGTGTTTTGTGTGATACGACAAGCCGTGAGATTCCCTTTTTGCAGTCTACGCCTTTTTCTCTTTGGTTGTCCCTCTCTCTTAATTCGACTTCGCCTACATCTTCTTGCTGCTGCTGCTGCTGCTGCTGCTGCTACCCGCTGGATCTCGACTTGACAAACGGAACGGAACTGACAACTGACGACCCTCTCCATTCGCAATGACATGATTTGATTATGATAGCGATGACGACCCGCTTCGAGTTTCTCGCTTGTCCTTGGCAACTTTTGCGCCTTTCTTTTGGCCTGGATCTGACCCCTGATGTGATGATGATGATGTTCTTCTGTGTTGGACTCTGTTCCTCTTATCTCTCCCTGGCTCGGAGGGAGGAGAGTGTAAATAGGAATGATTGATTACATAAGTTAATATATTAGCGATCAATTCGAGAGGAAGGCTTGCTCTGCGAAGTTTTGAGCTGGGATATGTTCGCATAGGCCATGGAGATACCCTGCTGTAAGTAAGTGGTACATTGCAGGACTTTGGAGGGATTCACATCCTATGGTTTGAGATGGAGTGTATATCTTCCTTGGTGCTGGCTCGAGTTTACTATTCTTGCGTTGTTCTCAGGCCATATCATTTGATACTGTTTAAACGGATCGATACGGACCAACCTAGGAAAATGGACAGTTCCCATAGACATGCAGCCAGGTCTCTACATAGCCAGAGACATATAAGCGTCCATTGAACATGAAACGATGCACTCTCCAAACAACAAATCGTGACATCATTTGTCTAGTACGACCACCACAAACCAACTTATGGCTGATAATATTTCACAATATTCACCGGGGCTGTAGAGAGTTGGACTGCGTTATGCATAATGATAATGCACACAGGGATAGTGTGTAGAATGGGCGTTATGCGCGGCGCCCTAATGTATGTATTATTCTCTGCTTATGGGCAGGGGTAGGCTTGGGGGAACTGGGGCACTTGACTTGATGTCAGAGATTAGTGAGGAAGTAAGGTTGGATGGTATTTTTATGGTATTTGAGTTGCTGGAGATGAGCGATGCTGTCTCGATTTGGAGTGGTGATGGTCATGGTATGGTTGTAAGGGTGGCTGAGAAAATGATGGATGTGCCACTTGAGATCAGCTCATACGATCACGGCGTCTCAATCTGCGTGAGTTGCACAACATCTGGCTTACAGCAACTCTCATGATTAGATGCACGGAACGGAGAGACGAGGCAGTGAGAGCACGGTCAGCGAGTACAAGTCCTTGGTCAGCAAGGCTTGCAGTCAGATGGACGGAGCTCTATCTAGTCTCAAGGCGATCACCAATAGCTCGTAACTAGGACCCGTTCGTCTCTTCCACATATCAAGTCCTCGACGGTCTGGATCAGAATCTTCATCTGCCGCTCCGCGATAAGGACGAATTGCAGGATGGCCACGCGGTGGTTCCCGCAGACCCACTGCCCGGTGGTGCATGAGCCCGCCTGCCCTCCATTACACCCCTTCTCCTCAATATCGATCATCGTCTCGGCGATCCTAGCAGCAACCATCCCCTCGCAGATCCCTTCGCGGCGGGGGTACTGCTTCAGCAAGCGAAGGGCTTCACGACGAATCGTGGGTTCTCGACATCGGGTAGCAATGAGGAACAGCGGCTCAGCAACTGTGGTCGCGAGACAGAAATTCGGATGTGAGGGTCTCTCCCCGGACATGTGGCTTGAATTCAGGTCGTCTAATAATTGGGTAGCAAGGTCAAGCATCTGTTTATAGTCTTGCAGAAAGTCGTCATGGCATAGTTCACCTTTGGTGAAATCCAGCGACAGGAAAATACGTGCGAATATACGGCGGATGTAGAGAAGGTTGAGGGCTCGGTCGTCCTTCTCGGACGGTGCCGCAACAGACAGAAAGCCGCTTAATCTGGCGTCCCATTGCTGAAAGTCGTCGCCACATTTTTGTTTCTGGATAAGATTCTCGGATATGAGGGTAAGGTCGCTGAATTCTTTGCTGAGCATAAAGCGCATCATAGTGTTGAAGTGAACTTCTATGGCAAGGTATGCATCCAGCAAAGATCGGAATGGTTCTATGGTAGACGACAGAATGATTTGGCTGTCCGTCCACTGGAGATTGTTCCTCTGGCTGGGGAGGTATGGACGAGCTTGGGTGTCGAGCTGAGTGAAAGCGACAAGTAATAGATCTATATCTGGATCATCGTCTCGTCTATCTCTATTCCTGAGTCCTAAATTCCAGTAATGGAACATCTTTAATCCCGAACTGATATGCACAAAGGCCTGCCATTGACGGCCTTGTAAGCTCGCCATGCAGGTAAACAAGAGGCAAGTGCTAAGCGCTACCAATTTGTCGAGGCGAGTCAGGGATGGCCCCGAGAGTAGCTTGCGGAGTGATTGGATAGACTTGTTGAATTGGACCAATGCAAAGCGCATATTCGGAGTGTCGCCCACCCGTGCGACGGTGGTGGGGGTTCTATCCGTGATGAACTCGTGGTGTACACATGCCAGTGCGGTCATGGCATGCCACAGTGCTGGATACTGGTGGGATAGTTGGAGCAACTTGCCGGTCCAGAAACCAACATCGAAGAACCCGGCTAGGTCGGCTGTCGTGACCGACCGGAAGAAAGCGAAATTCTTGATCTCCACCGTGCTGCCGGAGACCTGGTCCCAGGCCGATGGCATCTGCACCACGTGCTGTGGCTTGATCACTTGCTTGATAGCAAGCTCGTCATAACCATCGCAGTTTCTTCCGGTTGATGTACATCTCGTGCAGCTGTCATTGTCGCATGGTGTCAGACTGGTATGGATAACCAGATGGCACGCAATCCACCCGAGCTGCCTTTCTCTCACCTCGGTTTGGTCTCGTCACACTTGATCCGTCGTATCCTTAGAGGGTCAGTAGGTACCAGGGTCAGTCAACCTAGCACGAGACAAACCTGCATGTAATGCAGCCAGACTTGACTTTCGGGGCCCACTGTTTTAGCCTTGGCCTGCCCGATTTGTTCAATCGAGAAGAGATCTCTCCCATCACAGTGGGTGCCATCTAAGAAAGACTCCAGGACTGTGGTATTTGACCAACAGTTCTTCGGGGTTTCAAAAATGAAAACAACAGGGGGGAGGATAAACGAAGTGCCCTCTCACGCACCGGGAGCCAAGCCAAGTGTCGGAGAGCAAGAATAAATAGTGTAGGTTGAGCCATTGTGATTCGAGAAGAGCCCGACCATTCAGCATAGGGGAGATTGCAAGATGTGAGCCAAATTGTAAAGCCGGTCGAATGGCGGCTTTCTAGCGTCTGGGCGATTGCTGAGAGAGGAAAAAGAACAGTGCATGGATGAATCCCTAACTCCCCCAGCATCCACTGAGCGGTGGAGATAAGATCCGCCGATTAGGCCTGGCAGGTCACGTGCTGGACGTGTTGAGGCTGGGCCAATATTGATTGGCTTAGAAGTTAGATAGTATAAGAGACAAAAACTGACTGGCATGACTGCTGATGCGCTGCACGCTGTCAACCAGTAGTCTTCGAGTGACAAGCAACATCACAGCAAGCGACTCGCGGGCCGTCGCCCAGTCGTCAGCACACGAAGGAAAGGTGGGAAATAACTTGGAAGTCCTTCAAAATTAGTGCTGACCACCACATGCCGCCATGCATGTTCTTTGCCCACTTCTCTCCGGCGGCTGGTTGTACCGATACTACCGAATTCGGAATAGCTTCCTGTCATACTGCCCCAAACCAGCAACAGCCCTGAAATGTGCAGCTGCAGGCCAGATTGTGATTTGTCACAGTGACTTGGATGCAAGACTCGGCACTACCTGTCAGTGAAGCTCAATGCTGACAAAAGTAAAAATAGAATGCTCATCTATGCATGCTACGCACTACTACAGGTGGGAACCTTGTCTTCTCTCCAGGCCTCACCACTTTCATCTTATCTGCTAAGGATTCCCGGGTTTAGATAGTATCTCGAGCTTGTACTGCTTTCCCACGGGTTATTCTACACATGTCAATCACACCAGAGAGTTTGCATGGGATCGTGATGCAGTACATCAAATTATACCTTGAGTTTTTCATTCTTCATTAGCTTAGCCTTGTAAAGGTAGGCTTCCTGCTGATAGTCACTTCCCCGTCTCCCTTTTTTCAAGCACCCTCGATAACGTCATCAGTCGAGTTTCAAACACCTCCGTTCAAGCGTCAATCCAAGTCCCCAGTACTCCGTTGCTCAATACGCCACCACCCCAAGTATGGCATCGCTCAACATCCACCAACGCAATCACACACATCATTTCATATTGCTAGTCTGAATAGTATGCCGAGGGGTGTTGCTTCGCATCGAAAGCCTTAATCGAAACAGAAGTCCCGGTACTTCGGAATCAAGTCACAGAAGACATGCAAGGTCACCACGAAACCCAACCAATAACCCACAGACCCAGCTTTATCGTCCCGTTTATCAGATAATGCATGTGCGACTTCCGGCAGCGCCTCGAGAAGTAAAGCCTCACTGGAATGAACGTAGAACAATACTTTCACTGGAATGAACATAAAACAATGGTCTTCAGAAATGCCTTGGAAGACACTGTAACTCGGTCATGCAAGCTGATTCGGCGGTTGTCACTGCTCACCTCAGTGACATCTGCACCTACCATCCACCCAGTCTTGGAAATGCATGTAGATCTTCATACCTCACTTGGTGTTGAGGGGCAGCTATAGGAGCAGTCAGGGTGATGCATTCTGTCACGCAGAAACGCGCCTCAAACCTGAAATTTGACCCTTCATATGAGCAGAGCAATGAGTATCTAGCCGTGGAGTACACTCAAGGCATGTAAAACATTTCCCAGATATGACCCGGCACAGCCCATAACAAGATAGATAGAAACAATGCTCCAGATTATGAGAAGAGATACTCAGTTCAGTTACCTAAGCCCTAAGGTTCCTACCACCTTTCCCCATATGCTACCAGAGAAAGGAATTGCCCCACGCATAACAAAACACCTCAAGCGAGATACACCAGGCGGAAGCAACAAAAGTACGATCCCATTTCTACCGGGGGCATTCAACCAACCGACAACCCCCCCCCGCCGAAAACCAAGGCACCGTACTTCGTCACATCAGGCTAAACGATAGGTACAGCAGCTGTCTAGACATACGCCACGCCATCACCCTCCCCGACCCGATGGCAACGCCGACCACACTCCCAATCCAGGCACCACTCCGGCAATCTAGTCCCCACTACTGCAACCCTAGATCCTCCCCGAGACTGAGGGCAGAAAAAGTAAAAACCAAAAGGAAAGCCTGTATGTCGTCCCAGGAACCGGGATACCTCTACGGAGACGGGAGACGGACGAACCTACCCATCGATCATCCAGGGGGTTGGGAGGGAGGGGGGGGGGTCGGGGTGCGGCGCATCGAGGTATCGCATTTTCCCCACACTGCCATCACCACCACTCACTCCAGCGAGATTCGCTCTTTCAGCACCGATACACCTTCTTGAAACTTCATGAGTAAATTCAGCCGGAGGGAAGCATTTGATACAAACAGACTATATGGATGATATTCAGATCCAAGCTTCATCAGACGGGACGACAGCCCTCTACATTCCCCAAGGAAGGGCAATCCCGCAAAGCCATTGTCCCTCCAGTTCCAGCACATCAGAAAAAATAACATTGCATACGGAAAAGAAAAACACATGGCATTCGCATGCCCTAATCTACTAACTCATGCATAGAATCTCATCTATCAACTCGAGCCGATCAGCCAACCATTTCGCTTCGATCGCGGGATCGTAAGATATATTCTTGATTCTGGGAACTGAATGTACTACTGTACAAAAGTACGAAGGGGAGTGTAGATGGGCTTGGCTCTTCTAGGTGATCGGGATGTTCTACATTTGTTTATTCTCTCCGTACTTTTGGAACACTATATGTACATACTAAAGTCGATCCTGATCCGATTCCCTCATCTGCGGATCCGGATCGAGCGATCGAGCGAACCGCAGGCCACGCGTGCGGGCTTGCATACATGTATATGCTTTTTTTTTTTTTTAAAAAAAAAAAAAATTCGAATTGGAATAGGATCGGAATACTTTCAATACTCTCGTAGATTGATTAAGCACATAAAGGCTCGAGGTACGATGTCTGACCGTCACTTTGGTGTCACGATAGGACTGGTATTATGATTTATAGCTGGTATTGGAATAGAGGTACATAGAACTAAGAAAAAATCATCTGTATTCTCCTTGCCAAATGCGCCCGGTCGCCTTTTCGTCCATCCATCATTCATCCTATACTTGAAACAGAAAAGTAATCATCAACAAAATCGAATGACCTGTGCTGCGTGTGGTGGTATCTACTCAGCCTCGAACGCCAGAAACCCTAAAAACAACCCACTTCCATGTTCACCTCCTTGCATCATTCAATGCGTGCTCTATACCTCTCTGCCAGCTGGGACACGACGAAGTGGACCACTGATATATAGTCGGATATATTCGGCTTCGGTACCTGACAACTTGACATGGAATAAGGTGGATAATATTTCCGAGAGTCCAAGGTGGGCTCCAGTTTCTCGGAATGGGCCAGCGGGGCAGGATAAGTCACCATCCCAAGGGATTAAATTGACGGTCTTACCCGGGGACCAGATTTTATGGAGCCCGGTCATAAGTCGAAAGTAGATAGTGGAGGGCGCGAGAGAGCCGGACAGGACTGTCAATCAATAGTTCGTCACCCTGGCGTCGCTCCGGCAGGAACTAACTAATTTAGTTCCTGCATTAGAGGGGCCGTCTCCGAAAGTACGCGGGCCCTAAGTCGAGCCCGGTCTCAGGGAGTCAGGTGTCAGGTCAGCGTCACTGGTGGGTGTCCGACGTCCAGGAAATCCGGCATTCTAACGGATCACCGTGAGGCTGCAGTTACTGCGTGGGAGCGGAAAAAATCGAGCCGGTCTTCCACAATATCGAGACATTGGCCTAGGACTAGTGCATGGATCGTTAATCAAAATCCTTGTCTCCGATTGATGTTTCGCTTGGGTAACACCTACCAGAAAGAATCTCTTCCTCCCAAATTCCTAGCTGGTAATCAACTAGTCCATGCTGTTCCATTCGATCGCATAGCTGGATCAGCTCCTTACCCAAGTTGTCCATGGCTTCATTGCTGAGGAGACTGGTCTGCGGTGGTTGGCGACCTGTCTGAAACAATTCTTCGGCCATGTCTTTTTGTTTCTGGCAGAGTGCAAGCCAACATATGTTGAAGTCATTCCATAGTTGCAATCGATCGGCATAAATTGTTTGGTCATCCCGGAGAACCCCTATACACGACTGGCCATCAGTTTCACAATCCATAAATGCACTTGCTCAGCCGTCTCCCTAACCCTACCCTCTCCTTAGGCTGAATTCCAGCAGCAGACGCCATGTACTTTTGATGTCAAGGTGATCATGATGACATACGCAGTACATGCATGGCGTGAACGGGGCCAGGAGAGAGAAAGGTGGAGTCTGGACTGGCGAGACTTGCGCCGGTGTGGACGCTAAAGGAAAACATACCGAGCTCCCGCGCATTAGTCACAAGCCACTCGGAGATTTCCAAGAGTGATCGACTGGCTTCCACCAATCGGCCAGCGCGCGTATCGTCGAATGTTCCTCGCACAGCGCGTTGAAATTGTGCATACACTTCCCTTACGCTGGCTGACTCAAAGTCGGCCCGCGAAACCTGTTGGAGCGGTTGCTGCGGTTGCGGTGGTGGCTGTTGCGGTTGCGGTTGCGGTGGTGGCGGCGGCGGCGGCGGCGGAGACGGCTGCTGCTGCTGTTGCTGTTGCTGCTGTTCCTCCAACCGTCCGCCGGCACCCACGGGGGTCAGACCGGTCATATTTGCTGGATAGAATTGCGTTGCGCCTGAGCGTCCCATGCCCCCCGGCGGCGGCGGGTTATATGCGGACAGCGGGAGTGTTAACGGCAAGTAGGGCGGCCCTACGGCTGGAACCCCAGTGCCTGTCGGTTCATTTGGAGGGAAATACTGTGGAACACCAAACTGGCTGGACAGGGCTTCCATTGCTGCAGATTGCCGTGCCGAGTAGGGTGGTGGCACCACCTCGTACGTGGCTTGGGTTGGGCCCTGTTGCCCGCTGAGGTCGTATACCATCTCGGAGTCGTAAGGAGCTAAGGGCCGGTGCACTGACGGGTGCTGCTGGCGCTGCTGCTGGTGCTGCTGCTGGTCGCGCAACGTCGGGGGGTATGGTTGCAACTCGTCCCCCTGCAACGGACCGCCCTGAAAGGGACTGTCTGTGTATCCATAGTCCAAGTAGGTGGACATCCGGGGACGCCCCGTGGCATGCGAGGATGCATCACCTCCACGTGCTGCTGATGGGGCCCCGGCCTGCCTGAACCGGTCCGCTGCACCACGACGGGACATCCCGGCTCTGGGTGCAAAGCGGGCATTTAAATCATGTTGCTTCATGCGCTGGATATCGCCATCCATCCCCCTACGCACTTGATCGAGGTCGAAGGACCAATGCGCTGAAGGGGACAGGGGCGGGCTTGCGTAAGAGTCCAGCTTGGCGGACGAATTGATCTCTCTTTGCCTTGAAGAGGTATCACCGTCGCTGAGGATTTCGGCGCGCAGTCGCTCTGATTTGCTGGCAGGGAATTGAGATTCAAGCCAACAAGATTTGCAGTAAGCGCGCGGAGGTCTCACGGTTTCACTTCCGCACAGGGACGCGGGTACAACCAGCGCACGCGATCTAGATGGCTCGTCCACTAATCAGTCATGGTCAATGTATTTGCGCAAACTATTCGAACTTCACCTGCGCACCTTTCTGCAACAGCAAGTTCCCCGTTAGAATGGTTGGTCGGAAGCAGAGTATGTATGCTTTCGTCACACCGCCAGATAGTGACTTCTGGATCTATGTGGTCGAGAGTGCGAGATCGCCGGAGAAAAAGAACAGAGTCCTTGACCACACTGATCACAATGCAGGAAGAGTTCGCGTGGGAAGGATGCAGATGGGAATTCTAAAATATAGAAGGATAAGTTCGAATGTGATCCACTGAGGACTCGAGTCTAGTGCCCGAGGGGGGGGGGTAAGAAGGCAATCTAACAGAGCTGAAGTCCTTCGTCCTGATTTGCAGCCCAAGGCAGATATTGGGAATCAATTGCTTGCTTCGGAACTCAGCTGCTGAAACGGAGGGGCTGTAGAGTGGGGGACCAGCGGCAGAGGACTGGGATGCACGGATTACTTATACCAGTAGCAAGTAATTCAGACCCATAGCAAGGGCAGATACGATCCACCGGGAATTATCAAGAATCCTCGGAAGAAGCCAGTTGATCAGGTAGATCTGGATTAGCATAGCAGTACGTCGTGGACAATGAAACGAGGGAAGCGAGCGCCTGTATCAGGTTTCTGCTCGGGGATCTCTCTCCTGCAGTGGGGAGCGGAGAGGATGATCGGAGAGAACCATCCAGGAAAGTAGAAAAACAGGAATCAGAGAAGAGGAAAATTGAAAGGAAAAAAAAAAAAAAGTAGAAGTAAAAAAAAGGGAAAAAAAAAGCACCTCAAGGGCCAAACAGAGAAGGACATCATCACCGGTGACAGAAGCGCGAGAAACGAGGAAGAAAAACAAATGACACTAACAAGAAATAAGGAAGGAAGGGAAAAGAAACCCACTGGTTGGAGGGGAAGAGAAAGAGAAAGAGAAAAAGAAATGATGAGCATGAGAGACTGTGTCCAGCATCAAGCCAGCAAGCAAGCAATCAATCAATCAATCGATCAATCAATCAATCAGACTAGTTGGTGCCGGTGATGGTGACTATTTCCCTACCATTCTGGGATGATTCGGGTGCGAGTTTTTCTTACTTTCTTTTTTTTTTTTTAATGGCTTGATTTGATTTCTGTGCCCCTCTAACTCTCTGTTCTCTTACGACCTGCATGGAAAGAAACGAGACATCGATTTGTGCGATGATCTGATCGAAGTGAAGTTGTTCTATTGCCTTCTCGAACCTCTTCAGAACTTCCAGACTTCACGACTATGTCGAGGGCTGACAAAAGTCACGTCTGAATTATTGTGCAGAGCCCAATCTACACCCCACGATGAAAATCGATCGAGCCCCCTTGAAACCCTCAGCCACTTCCTCGCTCCACTGACTCCCATGCAATCCAAGCCCATGCCAGTGGTACACACTAGATACAGGCGCATACAAATGATCCCAGTAAACGCACTACCCGAGCTGACTACCAGCTGATCATCTTTTCATTCCTTCTGTGGACCAATCCGTCGGGACTGCAGCCCAAGCAAAAAACAATCCGGTTAGTCCAAGGCGTTCACCACAGGTTCTCAGGTCCATGAGGGAGGCTGACGGAGGCAAGCAGAGTGGATATGATGACGCCCAAGAGGGGCAGCGGAATCCGATCCATCAGATTTCATGACATGAAAAGGGGAGGGAAGCAATAATGGAGCCGATTAAAAAAAGGGCCAGGCGCCATCTGATTCGTGGACGCCCGGCCAGCCCAAAGGGATCGTGACGGGGATAATTCAGACACGAGGCGGGGCTATTTGGGACTCCTGGCTGGGAAATAGTCTAAATCCCGGACAAAATAGGAAAGAAAAATAAAAGAAAAGTACCAACACTTACCCAGAAACTTCCTCGATCTTGCAGGTGCAGCAGCCGTCATGGCACTGCTTCCAAGAATCCGATAAGGTTAATCGCCCGGATCCAGGCACTCAGAATGGGCAGCAGGCCCAATCGAGATAGTCGCTGAGACTAGTTCCATCACTAGATTCTTCCTGATTGCGGTCCGGCCAACAATCATTCCAAGTATTCCAAATTGTTCAAGTTGAAAGGATCCATTCTGACTTTTTACCGCCGCCCTGGGCCGAGTTCCCCGGGGCCCTTAGAGTTAAGCCCTCCCGAAACGCTATTTTGGTGATCGTCTTAGGTCCATGCACACCCACCCACACACACACCCCATCCGAAGAACCATCACACCCGATTGTCCGATCGTGAGGCAAGAGACGGCGTGGCGACAGGCCTCAGCCGACGCTAGAGATCTTTATGCAGCCAAAGAAACAAGTGCCGATTGAACAAGGTGAGACATGCCGAAAAAAAAAATAAACAAATCAAGAATAAGTGAGGCAATGAAGCCGGGGTACGGTTCCATGGGACTTATCCGCGATGGACCGTCAGAATAGGTATAGAACCACGGGAAGAACCGCTTTCTGGGACGCAATGATACCGGGGTCCTGGGAGGTGGATCGGCTGCTGCCCGGACTGACCACAAAAGATCGCAGGATCACGCTGGCAAACGGAGCCTGATCCCTTTTGGGCAGACGGACAATGCGCTCACAGGCGATCCGGTTCACCCAGAGGCTTGGATCATCGAAATTGATCGAGATGCCAAAGTTGATGGGTAATATCTACAAAATTCACGATGACCCAATTTAGCCGCAATCCCAAATGCAATATCAAGTCTGGGACTGATAAACACCTACAATTCGCCAAACATAGAAGCCTCAAAGAAGAGCGTAGTCCCTGTGAATAGTGTAAGGAAGTGCACAGTACAGAACATGTAGGGTCCGGCTAAGCCACCGAGTCGTACACCTTCCAGCGGGCTGGGAAGGTCGCGCGTGCATCGGGAGGCGGCCAATGGAGGCCATGCTTATGACAGCCAGGGGGATCGGCATCGCGCCCATTGAGACAAGCTAAAGCAGCCTACTCAGAGTCTCTCGCAGGTGGATCCCGCCCGGTCCTCTTGTCCTGTCCTTTCTTCTGTCTTCCTCTCGATCAATTTTCAGACCTGCATCATATGCATTCCGGGGATTTGCGAATAGAAGGACTGGGAGGTCCTTAGTGGTGGTGCCCGATGAATTAGCCGGGTACCTAAGGTACTGAAAGTATGCCGGGACGATCTTCTAAGGGAATGACGGCGTCCCTTAGGGCTCGACAGTGTGGACTTCGGGCTCGGAAGGAAGGGCCATGATGACGGAATTCCAAATTGCGAGGCGGAAGGAAGGCCACTGCTTCAATTCCTGGAAGAAGATAGAAAGGAGGGGAAAGGGAAAATCGGAGAGAGAGAGAGGTTGTCGGGGTGGTGAACAAGTGAGGGGGAGGAGGCCTCACCCTCCCCCCGGTCAAAGTAAACCGACAACAGCTGTAGTTACTGAGAGTGAGGAGGAAGAAGAAGGGGACTCAGATTGGAAGGAGCATGCTCTGCAATTGACAGGCCTCGTGCTGATCCAGACAATCAGTTGTTGTGCTGATTGTGGATCTGAGCGTCCTGTCAATAAGCACAGTGTGAGTGCTGAACAGCTGATAAACTAGGCAGTCTTGCTACGCTCACGCGGAGGTCCGGTCTCGACCATGCGAAACTCGGTCGAGAGTACTAGAAGGCTAGCTAAGAATATGTACTGTAAATACATACTAGGTACGATGTACTTACTATTACTGTACTTCCTAGGAAGGTCACAGAAATCACGGGTACAGGAAGTACTGTAGGTACTTTATTCTCACCTACTCACAATACTACACATTGACCGATACCTAGCCTAGTAGATACCCTACTGTATCCATGATTTAGATACCTAATAATGTATCTGCCCTTTGAAAACAATCCCTCTCCCTAATTGGCGTGAAACCAACCCCGGGGCCACTGTTTCCACATACTAGATAGAGAATGTCATCAATACAATTGACAGGCTCCACCTCCACCTCCACCTCCACCTCCACCTGCATCAGCATCATCCCAGGTCTCCCCTTCACTTCGGTCCTTCGTGGTCGTCAACCATTTTCACAGCACCAATTTCGACCCTCCTACCTGTTTATTGTCTCTCTTCCACCATATCCAATTGGTCTAATGAGAGCCTTGGCAAGTTCTTCAGCCACACCAGGATCATCATTTTATTTCTCATCCAGCGTCCAATAGTCGCAATTCCGAGCCGTGTTGGCAGTGACCTTGACGACGAGGGGCCAGAGCAGGTAAGATCACTCCGATTCGACTTTCATGGCCTTTTCCTGCTGCAGCTGGGGGCGGGGAGATTCTCAACAGAACTGGTGACGACTGTTCGCGTCAGATGGTTTCTCTCCCAATCTTTCTACCACAGCTCTTGCAAGTCTCGTTGGCATTTCCCACCACCCAAGTAGAACATATCGCATCGCATTGCGGTTGTAGGTCGGTATACTGCTTGGGGTTTCGGAGAGAAACCATCCGCCACAATCGCGAACCTGCTCTCATTAGATGTTACCACCGGATGAACAGCCTCTTCTCAGCAACGGAGAGAGCACCATCCGCTCGAGCTCATGGTGCCACAAAACCCTAGCTAGCATCAGGCCGAATACAATGGGTCGAAACGCAGTCCACGTGCGAAACATAACAAAAAGGACATGGCTGTTCTGCACACTGTCTGTTGTTTCAAAACAGCTTGCCATCCCACCGCTGGACCGCAGTCGGTTTCTGCTGTGAACCGGTTCCCTTCTTCAGCTCCAGGCTTGCAACTCGTCTTTCTTGCCCGGGTATATTGTGTCTGGCAATCTTGGCCGGCGGCCGAAAAGCAATCTTCCTCTTAAGGTGATTTGACCCAAGCTGGGCGCACGGTGGGACAAACACTTGATCGCCGGCAGTGATCTGAGTCAACGGCACATTTCTGCCTGATCCAATCCTAACTCCTTCCCTCGGCTTCCGTAACACCAAGCTGAGGTTTGTACCAAAATTCAGTTTATTACTTTTACGCCAATAGTTACATGCCGGTCGCCGAAGACATGCCGTGTCGTGTCCTGAAACGACTTCCGTGACACCAGGTGAGAATGCTTGCCAAACAGGATATACTTTCGTTGGGTAAAAAAATCACAAGGCCAAATCGAATAATACAGCAAGGAAGTAGAAGTACAAAGAAATAACCCAAGCCCTCCACGCGAGGGTAGACCGACCTCGACTGCGCCTTCATCTCTTGACCCAGGTAGGCATCTTGCGCGCCTTGACGTGACCGGGCTTCTTTCTCTCCACACGACGGGCGTCGACCGTGATGACGCCGGCTGAGAGAATAATTGGTCAGCAAATAATGGTCGGAGTGAGGAGCAGGGATACATACCCTTGCGAAGCACAGGCTTCAGAGCAGGCTCGTGAACCAGCAGCGCCCGTGCAACAGCCAGCGTGATGGCTTCTGCCTGCCCAGTAGTTCCTCCGCCCTGGACTTGGGCCCAGACATTATACTTGTCCAGTCGCGACGTACACTGAAGAGCCCAGGTGGCACTCTCACGATCATGTACTCTTGGGAAGGCCTCCACCAATGTCTTTCCATTCACCCTCACCTCGCCATCACCCTCGACCAGGAAAGCCACTGCTGAGGAAGACTTGCGCTTGCCCCGGCCGCGACCACGGCCCATCTCATCCACCTGAGCCGGGGCGGGCTTGAGATCGTATGGGTTACCCGGACGAAGAAATTTCTCGATAGTACTCTTCACTTCATGTGGCATCAGCTTGCGGTCGATTCGATTGAGTCGCTGCAGGATCTTGAGAAGGCCCTTGTACTTCTTTGTCGGCACGGGTTCACCGACGAAATCACGGAACTGCGCTAATTTGAACCACGCCATACGAGGCGCCTGGTTGCTCTCCACGATCGGTAAATGGGCATGCTTGGCGAGAATGGATTCCAAATTCAACAAATGGTCGACGAACTTTGGGCTACCGGAGAAGTAGGACGGAGACACGGGCACAAGCCGAGCAGGAAGCTTGTTGAGATCGACGGGTGGGGCGGCAACAAAGTCAACAGAGTCGACTTCAGTCGCATAGGATCGCTTGCTGTTGGGTTGTTTAAAAAGTCTCGTCGTTGTCGTCGTCGTCGTCGTCGACGAGGCCGACAAGATGGGCGACGCGGAGAGCACGGAGCGCTGGAGGAAAGGCCGCAGAGGAGCCGCTTGACGGATGGAGTGCATAGCCTGCACGAGGCCATTGGGGTTTTGCCAGGCCATTGCGCACGGGGAAGGACTGACCGGTGCCTGGAGAACCTGGAGGAGGGAGGGGAGGTTCCTGAGATAGAGGCTGGAGATCTGAAGCGGTCGCCGGACTTCCTTTCGGCGGAAACAGTCGCTTTTGGCGGTGTTGGGCATTTCCTGAGGTTTTTCCCGGCATCGCATCACGTGGACGCAGGATTCGTTCCTCCGGCCCCGATGCCGTCTGATTCGCACAAATTTCACCATTCTTTTTCTTCTTCCCCTCATTCTTTTCCTCTCTTCCCCCCCTCCCTTTCTCTTCTCTTCTTCATCCCACACATATCTTTCACAATGGCCTTCGGAAAGCTCTACGGTGCTCCTGTATGTTCTATCAACCCAGATCGACCTGCTGTGCATGATAGTTCCACTTCTGCATGACCAGCTCTTCAATACCTCTCATCAAACCTTCGAGCCAGCTAACATGTTCAATAGGAGAACGCTCGCACCATCGCCATCCTCGTTGCCGCTAAGGCTAACGACGTGGAGTTGGAGCTTGTCAAGACCGAGCCTAACTCTGCTGCTGCTTTCAACCAGTCTGCTGAGTACCGCCGTATCCAGCCCCTCGGCAAGGTCCCTGCCTTCGAGGGTGCCAACGGCTACACTCTGTCTGAGGCCATTGCCATCGCCGTCTATGGTACGTTTACACATGTGACTCACTCTTTGTGTCATGCACCCCTTTCTACCCCCATCGATATGATGAGATTCATCTATAAGTTATCCCTGTCAGAATGGTAAAAATAACAAACTGTGTTGATAACATTAAACTCTGATCATCTGTTACCCCACGTGCGGCTGAAGAGACTTTTTGTCACCCAAATGGTTCTTGGAGACCAGAAGCTGACTTATCGAAAAGTGACCTCCCAGAACGAGAAGACCACCCTTCTGGGTAAGACCAAGCAGGACTACGCTTCCATCCTCCGTTGGTTGTCCTTCGCCAACGCTGAGTTGCTCCCCCGCTTCGCTGGCTGGTTCCGCCCCCTGCTCGGCCTTGACTCCTACAACAAGAAGAACGTCGAGGATGCTCAGAAGCTTGCCCTGAAGAACGCTGGCGTTCTCAACTCCCACCTTACTGCCAACACCTTCCTGGTTGGTGAGCGTATCACCCTGGCCGATCTTTTCGTTGCCGCTCTCTGCACCCGTGCCTTCGCCACTGTCTTGGACAAGAAGTTCCGTGACGAGCACGTCTCCTTCGCTCGTTGGTACAACACCATCATCAACCAGCCCGCTTTCAAGGCTGTTGTTGAGAACCCCGTCTTCGTTGAGGAGGCCATCAAGTACACTCCTCCCAAGAAGGAGGAGAAGCCCAAGGCTGCTCCTGCCCCCGCTGCTGCTGCCCCCGCCGCCGAGGAGAAGCCCGCCGAGGAGAAGAAGTTCAAGCACCCTCTTGAGGCCCTCGGTCGCCCCGAGTTCGTCCTCGACGAGCTGAAGCGCCAGTACTCCAACGAGGACACTCGTCCCGTTGCCCTGCCCTGGTTCTGGGCCAACTACAAGCCCGAGGAGTTCTCCCTCTGGTCCGTTAACTACAAGTACGACAACGAGCTCAAGCTTACCTTCATGGCCAACAACCTGATTGGTGGCTTCCACAACCGTCTTGAGGCCTCCCGCAAGTACCTCTTCGGTTCCCAGCAGGTCTACGGTACCAACTACGACTGCGTCATCCGCGGTGTCTTCCTTGTCCGTGGCCAGGAGTTCAAGCCCGCTTTCGACGTCGCCCCCGACTGGGAGAGCTACGACTTCGTCAAGCTCGACCACACCAACGAGGCTGACCGCAAGCTCGTCGATGACATGTGGGCTTGGGATGTTCCTGTCGTCATTGACGGCAAGGAGTACCCCTTCGCTGACGGCCACGTCTTCAAATAAGCTAGTGCACCCCCCCGAGGTCGTCGTAGCTGTGCCTTAGCGCCGACTCATTATTGATGATGATGATATCCCATTTTCTTTTTCTCTCTCGGCGAAGAGTGAGCCTTGTAGATGAGCACACAAAACACAACCTCCACATCCTCCATCGTCCATCCCAGCCCGCTCAAGATAGGGAAGAAGTGTGTGTCACGGATAACAGCGTTGAAAGCCCGCCTATTCCTCGACTCCACTACATCCTCATCTCTCCTATAACCTCCCACCATTCCCTCGATATTACCCGTTATGGACTGGCTTTTGTGTGCTTTAATCTGCACCCTCGCTCAAAAAGAAAAGCTTTTTTAGCCAACACTTTTTTTCATGCGTCACGTCAAGCTATGCTTACGATTCGGACTGGATGATAGCAGTACAGTAGCTGCCTGTTAAGGCTCAAAATGATGAACTACAGCACTGTTGTGCTTTTCCATGACCTGAACTTGACTTTTATCCGTCCGTCAACATATCTCGTTCATGTGATGTAGACTCATTGTCACCTGGACCTACCCTAGATGAGGTATTGTTTTCATCCCTTCACCTACCGGCTTTCTCTTTCTTACAAGACTCCCAAACTGCCACTTGGAATCAATACTTAAAACACGTGTAGCTATCTATATACGTAGCAGATGTGAGCCCGGAAGTGTCTGCTCACCTACCTACCTACCTATCCTCTACCCACCGAGCACTTGCCTCCTGCATTTTCTTGATTATCCAGGTAACTATGCAAGATACTATCGGATCCGGTTAATCGTCTACACATACCACAAATGAAGAATACTGAACATCAGTCGTCCTTCCAACTCTACATCTCATTCTTACTCCGTTGTCAGTGCACCATGGCTATTTCCCTCACACGGGGAGGCAGGTAGGAAGGTAGATAAGGGATAAGGTACCTTACTCCCATCTGCAAACCAGGCAGACAGGAGGAAGGAACACATAAGCCCATGCGATTCTAGATGTATCCTGTATAGAGATAAGATATTATCAGACGAGTGAAACCGCACAGACCCAGCCGAACCAATCCAAACCAATCTAAACCCCAAACACCACACCACACATCACATCACACGTATATACATACATAAATGATAGAAAGACACAACCGAACAGAGGTGATTATGTTACAGGAAGAGCCAGCGGAGGGAAGGGGGGCATGCAGTCCCCTCTTGGCACGGCACACACACACACACACACATGGTGCTACCGGTTCAAGGACGCCTCGAGTTGGTCTAGAAGGTAGTTCTCGCTGGTCCGGCGTCCTTTCCCCTGGCGAGCGGCTTTCGCTTCCATCTTGCGAGCTCGGCGACGGTCCCGACGGGCTTGGCTTTTCTTGTCCTGAAACTGAGGCGGGTTGGGGCTACCGGCGCGTGGTTGGTAGGGAGTTGTGTCTCTGATGCGGGCGGGGGACCGGGACTGCCGGAATGGGAGTTTTTTGGGAGGGGACCTCGAGCGCTCTCGCGTAGGGAAAACCGCACCGGCAGATCTGAAAGGGGATCTTGAGCTGTCTCGCGCAGGGAAGGCTGCGTCAGCAGGTCTGGAAGGGGATCTTGAGCTGCCTCGTGCAGGGAAGGCCGCGCGGGCAGGTCTGAAAGGGGATCTCGAGCTGTCTCGCGCAGGGAAGGCCGCGTCGGCAGGTCTCAAAGGGGACCTTGAGCTGTCTCGCGCAGGGAAGGCCGCGCGGGCAGGTCTGAAAGGGGATCTCGAGCGATCTCGCGCAGGGAAAGCCGCGCCGGCAGGTTTGGCAGGGGCAGTCGAAGTCGCGAGGCGTCGAGCCGCTTTTTTCTCCTGTTTGCGGGCTTTGCGACGTGCGGTGCGCGCTTGCGCCAACTCCTCAATCGTTGAGGGGCCATGGGGGATACTGGGTTGCTGCTCATGTTGCCCAAGAGTAACAGCGGCCGTGCCAGCGGGGATGCTATCACTCTCGTCCACACCAATGTCGATATCGAAGACACTCGCGCCCTCTGTCTCTGTCAGTTTCGAGCCCCAGATATGCAACACCTTGCTGACATCGTCGTATTTTGCCAACTCCTGCAGGAGCCGCAGCACATTCGGGAACACTTGAGCGTCCTCCGCGCTACAGTTGCCCGTGAACTCAGGGATCTCCAGGATATTGTACGGCTCGGCGATGGCTTTGAGTTTGCTGTCATCAATCAGAATGGTGTTGGTCTGGTCCCACTGTAGTTTCTTTCCCCCCTCTTGTGCTTGCTGCCCCCTCTTCCTATAAGATCGGGGGTAAGACGATTGGATCAGGCTGCTTTGCCAGACTGTACTCAACGTTTTGTAGACTTGGACTTTGTTTCTGTACTGATGTGCGGTAAGATTGAACTTGTCACGCCCCCATTCGGCGACGAGTCTTTTCCGGTCGGCCCGCGAGAACAATTTTGCGCATAGACTTTTGACGGTAAACGGTTGCGAGCTGGACCAAACCATGACGGTGTAATTACTCAGAAGAGTATCAAGGAAAAGCCTTAAACCGGCGCGTTCGCTGTACGAGGGCGGAGAATTGCGATTCTTGCGGTGGACAAGTGTGCCATTCAAGTCTAGGATGACGAGGAGGGGCTGGGGTGAGGGGTTTCGCTTCGGTGGAAGGGAGGACTGCTCGAGGTAGTCTGCCGTAGGAGATGGGGGTATGACTGGTTTGACTGGCTTGGGTGACCGGGATCCTCTCTCGTCCGGTACATAACGCTCTTGCTGGTTTGAGACTGCATCCTGCGGGGTGTCTGGCCCATATGCAATCGAGCCAAACATTTGCATAGCTAACAGCGGGTTTGACATTCCCATGTTCAGCATGGGTGGAGGAGGCATGGGTGGTAGCTGGCTCGCAAACTTGGTGAAATCATCCCATGTCGGAAGCCCAAAAGAAGGGTACGGTGAGGGAGCCAATTGAGGTGTAAACTGCTGCTGTGACTGATCAGGCGCATTGTGACGGAAGACTGACTGCTGTGCTGACATGTTCGATGTAAAGAAAGGCTGTTGATCTGGTATAGTCGGCATCGGGAACGGCTGCTGAGATACGACATTGCCATTCGCATCCATAACACCTGGAAATGGGGGAAACACAAAAGGCAGGTTCGGGTTATTGACATTGCCCCCGAAACCTGCATGACTTGTTGAGTTTGGCCCATGAGACGACTGTAGTGGCATAGCTTCATGAGACATTACGGCTAACCCAGAGCCTTGAGTCGGTCGTCTGTCTGCTGATCTGTTGTTCCTTCGCGCGCGGTCTGGCAAGCCTTGACCTGGCGCCTGCGTACCGGTTTGATCTGCATGTGTGGGTTTCGAGTTCCAACGGTCACGATATGGCCTCCATGATGCCCTGGGATTGCCCTCATTGTAGGACTTATTATGTCCGCCCCGACTAGAGTAGCCGCCTCCGGGGCTATTCTCAGGCCCCATTGTGGGGTGCGATGCGCAATCACGGTATTTACACAAGGGACACGAACGAACGTAGGATCGCAGAAGAGACGATGTACGGCACCGGAGAGTCGGACTGATACTTGGCCGCGAGATCTATATGTCGCCGTCAGCGTCAGAGGGGAGTAAAACAAGTGTCTGTCAAAAGATGTACGCATACCATCAAGGAGGCCCCGCTTCGGGACTTTCGGTCAAGTCTAGCGGAGGCTGAGGGAGGTAGCCGTAAGGCTAGCATGAAGATGTCTGAGAGTCTATTGCATGAGAACACCTAAAGACCGCAACGAGAGAGTCTGTCACGGCAAAAGCAGCTAAGGTCTGGGTGACCAACGAGTGAAGATATAGCGGAGCATTCGAATGCGACGGACAAACCCCCAGGGGAAAATCGCGACAAATGTTCCCCGCTAGCCAACCAGCAGCAAGCCGCTTTCGCTACCGCCCAGGGGGCCGGCAGAATTGACTTTTTTTTTATTGCTGTCTCACCGCCGTGAAGTTCGCATTTCTCTAATCACTGATAGACAAGTAGTAGTTCATTTTCGGACAGCACGAAATGGCCATTTCAGATCTTCTTAATCGCCGAGTGCGGGCACTCCCCGAGGAAGATGAAGAGGTCTACTCCGATCGGTCTGGTTCCGAGGAGGCGAGTGACCATGCACCCTCGGACTCTGAGAATGCCAGCGACGATTCTCTCGATGAGGATGATGTCGGCAATGATGATATGGTTTGTGATTTCCGCGTCAATTCAGACAGCTTGGTAGTTCTAACTCGATGTCCAGTCAGACGAAGCCTCCGATGGTCTAGAAGACGACGACGACGACGACGATGATGACCATGACAATGATAGCGAAAGCCACAGCGAAGCACCCGAAGATGATGTCCAGGCCACCCTGGGAAACATCTCATTCGGCGCTCTAGCCAAGGCGCAAGCATCCCTAGGTCCGAAAGCAAAACGAGCCTCGAAAACCAACAAGAAAACAGACGAAGCCAACGCAGTTTCATCGCCGCTCGATGATATTCGAGCTCGTATCCAGGAAGCACGGGAGCAGAAGCGGCAAGGATTGTCAAAGTCGAAGGATTCGGAGAAGCCCTCCCGTTCCTCGAAGCACGCTCCCATGGTGCAATCATCCAAATATGCCGTTTCTCGCAAACGCACCGTTGTCGAGCCGCCGAGCGTGCCCAAATCTCGAGATCCACGTTTCGACCCTACTGTGACCAGTGCGGGTGGTCGGGGTAATCCTCAAGGTGCCAAGGATGCCTACGCTTTCCTCGATGAATACCGTGCCAATGAGCTCAAAGAGCTGAAGGCACAGTACGCCAAGACCAAGAATCCTGCACAAAAGGAAGCCTTGAAGCGAGAGATTCGATCAACTCAGGACCGGCTCCGCGCTATGGAGAGCAGAAAGCGAGAGAGAGAGATTCTATCTGAACACAAGAAGAAGGAGAAACAGCTCATCCGTGAAGGAAAGAAGAGCAACCCGTACTACATGAAGAAGTCGGATCTCAAGAAGCAGGTCCTGCTCCAGAAGTATGAGAGTATGAACTCCAAAGACCGCACGAAGGCGCTTGAAAGGAGGCGCAAGAAGACCGCGGCCAAAGAAAGGAAAGAAATGCCTATGGAGCGCCGAGCGCTGGCTGGCGACGATGCGCCCCGAGACCACGGAGGGGGCTTCAAGCGCCGCCGGCTTGCTTAATTCCGATGATACCAGTATCTATTGCTCATACAAGTTCATTCGTGTACATAATCATGCAAACCATATACCAGTATACCCAATGTGGTATCACCTATCATTATCCAAAATTGCTCAGATTTTGCCGGCTTCTGACTTTCCTAACAAAAAAACCCAAATTAAGGTGAGTATCCGGTAATAATGAGAGAAGAGTAACATGTCCAATAAGACTTGGTAGGAAAAACGAACAGATCATTGGTATCGCAAATATGAACATCGAGTAGAAAGAAGAGCAATCATCAACACACCACGGATCACCGAAAACGAGGTTCCCATAACAATATATAAACATGGATGCTTCATGAAACAAGACACCCTTACAATAAACGCCTCATAGCCGGTAGAACTTTCTGGGGATGGAGGTAACTGATGAAATGAGCGGATGCAGAATGAAACTAAAGATGGAAGAGGGAAAGCGGAAATTTAACAATGATGACAGCAGGGATGCCGTCTGCGGTATGGTATAGAATGCATAGAAGAAGAGAAATCAAGCTGCTGAAAAATAATCCGTGTCTCCTGGGCGGTTTAGGAGCAACTGATCATATCTGTTCATAGAAATGGTCGTCGTATGCATATTCATCATGCCAAGAACGTAGGGGTTCCCTAGGCATGTCTTTCACATATAGCCAAAAACAAATCCCACCTGGGTGTGAAACTCCCACCAGTGGTTATTTGAGCTCACGGACCAACAAGCACGTGACACCTCGTGCAAATAAGCCGGTGCCCTGATATTACCGTTGCCTGAAGATGGCGCTAGCCTCCAGCTGAGAGGGTCGAGAGAGACGTGCTGGCGAATTCAGCTCTAAGAATGGAACAAATCCCATGCGCGGGCGCAAAGACTGAGAAATTCTTCTTTCTTTCTCCTTTGAGTCTCGGGGGAGTCTCTGCCAGCACCGAATGGACCACGGGTGGTACTTGCGCCAGAAGCCAGAGCTGGGTTCGGACGGTAGTGTGGATCGGGACCATGGCCTAGCGGAGGACTACCATGTTCATGCTCGTACTCATTTCTAGAGCGGCGACGGGCAGATCCTTCGGAAGGATACAAAACTGGTTGAGGATGAACGTTCGTCGCCGGGGCGGTGTCTGAATGAGGTGCACCAGATTTGGGGGGACCGTTGGTGACCCGCGGAGACGGTGGGGTTGGTGGTTGGTGACCGCCGTAGTGCACGATGCGAGGCAGGAGCTCTTCCCGTCCACCCGACATTTCTTGGACAGCTTCTTCGGCAGAACGATACTCTCTTGGCCGCTTGGGAACTTGAGCAGAATCACGAGACATCCTGGGAGATGGAATGGGCGGCAAGTTGTTTGATTGAGATGAGCTCGCACCCGTTGCGCCAGGGTAGAAAGGTCCCCTGTTGATGTCTCTATCACGGCCTCCCAAAGCATCCGACCCAAACACATCAGAGAGTGGTGGAAGGCGGTTGTTCGTTTGGTTGGCAGGGACGTGATGAATATGAGAAGTAGACCCTAGAGTAGGACTCTGATTGACGATGTGACGGGTCAGTGGCTGCGGCTCGTGTCGGCCAGTAAATGTCTGGTTTAAAGGCGCCGATTGAATGACACGCTCATTTGCGAATTGAGCTGCAGATGGGGGAACGATGGACAAGCCCGGTGGTCTCCTCTTCGAAGCTGCGGTCTTGGGTAGGCCAAACGAATCCGAAGGCCTAATTCCTTCTGGTCCGTCATCCTTCGCAGACTTCTGTAGGCGCGATTCGATTATTGATCTTTGTTGGTCACGAACTGACAAGCTCCGTTGGAGTTGCTCTCTCATGACCGGGTCGTGGGTCTGAAAGCCCGGAGACAGGCAAGCGATCCCAACGTTCTGCATATTGAGGCCATCCCGGGCAGTCATCGGACCTCCGGGAGCCCGAGCGGACAGACCTCCCGAGTTCGGGAGGCTAGTAGAGAGATCCAATCGCCGGGGACGAGGTCGAGTATGGGACTGCATTGCAGGCGATGAAGGCGGTTCCTTCTTGACTATGACTTTCGCGGGGTTTGTTCCGTTTTGCGACCTAGTTGGCTTTTTAGTATAGTTGCGATCCAGGCACTCGCTGCGGATTACTCACGATGGTGATGTCGGCTTCTTTCCTGCAGGAGAGCTCTTGGCCGATGACCCATCCCGCGATGGGCCAGACAGACGAGGTGGCGTGGCGCTATTCTGATTACTCGAAGTCGCAGGTGCCAACGTTGGGCAATTCTTCGGACTCAGGTCACGGGTCATGCGCGGCGAAGTGAGCGGAGCGGCCTGGGCAGGCGCAACCGCGGTGGACATAATGACGAAGAAACGTGACGGGGTGAAGTGCGACACAGGATGCCGAAGCAGAAGCGACTCCTTGGCAAAGCTGTCGAGACCAAGAGCAGCTTTCACTCTGGTCCAATCTTAAGTTTGACAGTGATCCTCTCGGCGGTCTCACACAGCCACTGTATATATACGGTCGAGATACTGTGCCACCGTAAGTCTCACAACCTCACTAGCGGAAGAAATCCAGTAATGCTTTATGGTGTACGGTTGTGTGGTATCGAAGCGGGAGGTAAGATACTGAACGCGGGAGCGCGCGCGGTTGAGCAGGATTGGGGGTCGACGGCGGCTAATCGGGGGACTTCTGAGGGCGAACGACTCTGTGGCGTGGTGTAATGGAGGAGGTACTTGGGTCTTCGGTAGGTAAGCTCCGGAGGGGAGAGGGAGGGGGGGGCGGAGAAAGAAGAACAGACGGGCCCAGCCCAAACAAGGAACGACCACCACCACAGAGGGAGGACGTAGAGGGAGAAACAGAGGGAAGGGGAAAATAGGGAAGAGGAGGGAGAGGAGGAAAAGAAAAGAAAGCCAACGACAAATGTGGTACCCTAACCCAACGCGCTCGAAAGGAAGAAAAGAATAGTAAGGTGATAATGGGTGATGGGTGATGGGTGTGGGTGAGAAGAGTAGGAAGAGGAGGGATTGAGTGGTCAGACAGTTTGGGAGAGAGCGGTTAACTAAAGCTGCGCTGGCGGCAGTGTGACAACGGTTAGAGGTCGGTCAGAGAATCGCAGCAGGTCTGGCCCCCAATGCGTGAACTGTTGGCTCGAATAGAGTACTATCACGGTAATTGTAAGAAATCAGGCTTAATGAAAAAGGAAGTAAAAGAAGAGGCAAGAGGAAAGAGGAAAGAGGAAGAAGAACTAAGAAAAAAGAGAGAACCCAAAACGAGAGACAGCAGCAAGCAAGCCGAGAAATTATTGTATGTATGGAGTGGCACTAATTAATAAGGACGTATATTTGACTTTGGGAGGAGGGGAGAAGAAAGAGCAGGAAAAGAAAAACAGGGTCGATTCAATCTCGATGAGACGGTGGCAGAAAGAACTACTCCTCAGAAAGGTACAATTCAGCCCGTCTCAATCAATCACAGCTTGCAGCTGGGTCCAAATTAAAGAAGAAATATCAATCAGAAAAAAAAAAGGAAAAAAGGAAAAAAGAAAGAAAATGATTCAAATGAATTCGACGAAGGGGGAAAGAAAAAAAAGTCAAAGTGAGACTAAAGTACAAAGGGAATAATTCCAATCAGCATCAGCATCATCAAACGAGGGAGTGGGAATTGGGCTGAAAATGGAGCGACGAGGCCTCAAATGGATGTGGGGGAAAGTAGAACCTGATTCAGATGTAGTTTGAAGATCTTCTTTTGCATACAAAGGGTAGGGTAGGGAGGCCTGACTTTAAAGTCCTCAATATGGTCATTACATAGAGAGTATAAACTATCTACCTGGCGCCTCGTTCATGACTTGGCGATCAGGATAGGGAACAGAACACCAAAAAAAACCCCCCGGCTGGGAGGCATCCAGAGAGGTAAGTGAGCAGTGAAGCAAGTAACCATTGATGAACTGGGATGATTCCTAATAATCCCTCCTGAATGCTCAGACCAAGTGGAGAGAAATTCATCTGATTGGCACCAGCTGAGACATGGTTTGTTTCCGCCCAGGGCTTGTCGCCGAAGATGTGACACGCTTGTGACAATTGGCGGGAGTCACTTGTTGCTTGGAGGAGGTTATCATTCTTGCTTAGCGCTCATTGCTCCCTCCCATTTTCTCTCTCACTCGAGATTCTTCTTGAGGAAATCTGGATTCAGTTGTCAACTAGAAGAGTAGAAAAAGAGATAAGAGATACCTGGTAGGTACTCTAGTGTACAGTACTTACCAAGTATACCTAGGGATGAAGAATAAGATCATGGATGAGATGGGATCACTGGCAGCGAAACGCTGACTAACGCCGCGGACTTCCACAACACTAACAGACTAATAACACACTTAACACACTAAGGCAGGCTCCATCCGTCCCAGTGCGACCCCCATCCGGCTTCCGGCCTGGCCATGAACGAACAAGAACTGCTGATAAGCTGATGAAGAGCAGCTGAAAACCCCAGCATTCAGCAGTCGGCTATGCTGCTTCGTCCCAGATATGTCAAAGGACATCATCTCTGGACCATCATGAACACCACCACACACCACCACCACCAACCCTCGCATGCAGAAAGGTTCTTTGTCTCGACCACACAAGATCAACTGGAATCAGTCGAATGAAACGAACCTCAAAAGTCCACGAACCATGACCTAGTTGTAATTGCCTCCCCCCTCCACAGTCCACAGTCCACACCCCCTGGTGGCAAACCCAGACCACCTGCGACGCCAGCCTCCCTCACCATCGCCGGAACCCACTGGCGCCAAACTGGTGGAAACAATAGTGAGTTAGTGAGTTAGTGAGTTATAATCCCCTGGCCCCAACACCCACCACAAACTCCTCCCGAGTCCACTTTCTGTCAGATGGAAAATGGATCATGGCCCCCCTTCCCTCAGCCTCCTCTCCTCTCATTTCTGGTTTAGATCGTGCCGGTCTTCTAGCAGCAGCCACAGAAACAGCAGCAGCAGCAAGATGGATGAAGGGTTCTTATCAACCCAGGCAATTTACCCGAATTTGACATCTCACATTTCCCCACGTTCACTTTCTCCAACCCGATGGAACTGCACGAATGAACAAGGGGGAAAGGGTGCCTAGGGTTCCTTGTGAACGCCAGCCCTTTCCCACGGTGCATCGATCGATCATCCCGCGATCGGCTCTTGTCCTTGTCACAGCGTGGCATGCCCGAGGCGGGTCAAAGTGTCAATCGACCACTGCTGGATGACCATCTGGACAGACACGAAAATATGTAGGAGGATTCGGATTCGTGTCATTGCGTAGGGCAACCCTGACTCAGATGTTGTGTATACGTTGCTTTACACGTAGTAGACATACCCACCATGTTTCCGGCCGCCAGCACCCAAACCTCGTGATTCAAGGGAAAATTAAAACAGGGAGGGAAGACTACTAAGTGTAAATGCACGGGATCAGCTACTGTAGATTAAGCCCTTTGCGCCCCTAGTCGCTGCCTTGCGATTCACAAATACTAGAACGACTTTTACTTGTTTTGTTTTCTTTTCCCTTGCTCGGCTGCAACGCAATTCATATTGACGTTGGAAGGATGGAGCTGTTATTTAGATCAAAATTCACCCATTACCGAACACCTGCCTAGCCCTTTACATTCGGCTAAGCGCACACTATCTCAAGCTCGTACTATCAAGCGAGACCTCGGGTTTGTCTTGGACTGAGGAAAGGTCCAGGACACACGGGCCAGATGCATTCCTGTCACTACGATTAGCTCGCTTCCTGCGACAATAGACTATTCTCTCACTCAGGTAGCGCAGCAGCTCGAAGGAGACGCCGCAATCAAAATTTAGATTAATTGGGTCATCTGAGTGGTTCTGCTTGTCGACACTATTCCATCTTTATACTACTCAGTACGGGCTTTTCCTTAGGGATCTGGTTCGAAGCGAGATTGGTATAGGATCGAGAGTGAGTCCAGACATCATTGCTACTTGTCAGGTCTGTTGTCTTGAGATTGCTGGATTGAGGTTTGTTCCCTCTCCCTCACACCGAGATCCCTGGGTAGGCCCTGCGGATATGGAGCAAACATCAGCCTGGCCGACTGGTAAGTAGGCCACTACAGCCTGTGGGAGAAAGTTTCCCTCTTACTGGTAGGACCATGCATCAATGTTAGACATGCAGCAAACTATAAGAACTACTGCAAATGAATCGATCAATCCTTGTTACCGTTGCAGCCGGGCTCGGGGGACAAACACAACTCGCGGGACGATTCTCGGGGTTGTCCAGTACATGAACCTACCCGACTAGTGACGATGGAACAGGTAGAGAGATACCTGCAGTTCATAGGATGGGCATCACTGATCCCCCAAGCCTGAAACACAACAGACCGTGAGGCTCGAGAATCGAGCAGTCTGTGTTCCTGAGGTCCTCGGAGGGATTGGTTTCTTTCGACGGATGAATAGAAATGATGAAGAGAGTACAGCTCACAAGGACCAACCCCTCCCCTCCATCTGAAGATACCGAATCATTGGTGCCGGCAATGGTGCAACTGATGCTGCCTGAAATCATCCGGCGGAGCGTATCATGCTCCCGGAGATGGTGTAGCACATATTGATTATTGCTCCACCCCTCATTTCCGATGCACGGGGAGGAAGAGGGAAAGGATGGGGCCACTTCTGGCGGCTTCAGCAGTTGGTAGTTGCACCTGTGAGCGTGTACCTTTTGGCAGATGAGTGTGGATGTCGACTCCAGGTAGAGTACAATTAGGTCATATAATTAGAGTCAGGCTCTAGACATGCCTCCATTCATCATCATCGGTTGGTTAAATGACTTCGACCAGAATCATCACAGCATATCCGTCGGTTCATGTTCCTGGCCAACACAAATTAATCGGGGGCGGGCCCCACGTGTCTTCCTTGCCAAATGCAAATCAGGTCGATGAACCACTAGTTTACGGGTCCGCTCATTCTCGCCCGTCCCAGGGAAAAGAACCTAACTTATCGTTACTGATACTAGCTTTGGCGTCCCGTGGAATGACCACCTGCATGGCTATCTTCAGACTGATGCTTCAACACAGCGTAAGGATGGATGTTGAACGGCGTCGTCGGATCCTAAAACATAACCAACCCAATTGAACCATCACTCGGCTGTTGAGCCAATGTCACCGAATCAGATCAGTCTCGGCACCAACATTCCGGAATGGCGAGTTTATTAACTAATAAGTTCATACACTGTCTGGGAATTATACTTTTTATAGCCAGAGCACGGTACAGCTCTCTTAAACATGCTTGAAAAACTGAAACCGTCGCCAAGGCGGTACCGAGCCGGTTGTCCTGCAGCAATGCTTCTCATTCCTGAAATGGGACGACGCCTATAAACGACTTCAAGTTCATTTCCCGGACAGTTCAGCTTGGCGGAAAATCTGGCTGCTTTCATTATTTCGCTACCAGATATCACTGTTCTGGTGCGATTTGAAAATCATCGATATCAGACTCTGCGTCCTCATTTACGCCTCGCCGATCTAGTCCCAACGTCGGCCGTCTGCACGGTCCTGTTGCTAATATTAACCCTTCCCATGTGGACAGTGGGCACGGTGGTCTGAGTCAAGCGAGATGGTTCCTGGTCGATCCCAATTAACGGCTGTCAAGAATAGTATCCCATTCAATTTCGAACGGTTGAGTTCTTGTGGCTTGGTGGTGGGTTAGACTATATGTACTCGCTGTTATGGCGAGAGTGATTTGCCAGGGATATGCGAGTGGCTAGTTCTAATTATCGCTTCTAGGCCTTGGTGTTATGATGCTCTATACACCGTAGACTGCATTCTGCTTCATCTTGACGTATTGGAGCATGTTTGAGCCAAAGTAAGTCCACAGGGCGGATTATCTCTTGACATGGGTTTCAAGGCAGGATAGACAAGCGCCACGCAGCGGAAGAGACAGTAGTCTATGCAATACTCGCAGATGTAGTGCACTTCAAGCAGAACCGATTAAGTGGCCTTGTCACGCAGTTGGTCACTCGTCCCATTATCTTGGTATCACTGCAGGGGGACACGGCGGTCAGGTCTGATAGGGAAGAGCTGCAAGCCGCTATGCTATGGCACCCAGGTTAAAGCACGAGGGAACAACAACCTCCACTCAAGAAACTTCAACAAGCTCCCTCAGCATGGCAATTAAACATGGCACACTATGGACCTATACATTCCACCTGCAATCCAACGATCCTACGGTAACCAACACAGAAGGCGGTGAAAGTAGAGCCCATCCACACGGAAGGCGGTCAACCACCGATAAACCGTTTTTTGCATTTTTCTCTCTCTCCGTCACGGACGATAGCTATCGCAAAGGGGAAAAAAAAAGAGTGAAACCATCCTACAAGATCCAATCGTCTCTGACTGTTCGCCTCGACTGTTCGCCCTCAGTGCAGTGTCGTAATACCTCGTCACCCGGAACAAAACCCCTACAGCCTCGCGCGCGCTCGCATAACTTCCTGTTATATACCCCGCTTCACCTTCGATAGCAAGAGGTACGTACGACAGACCTACACATTCGAAGCCCTGCTTCTTTCTTACCCTTCAAGAGCTAACAATCCCACAGCCTGAACCCGCCCCTCGGCGCAATCGCAAACCTAGGCCGCATAACCCCAACTCCCCAAAATGCCCGCCTCCGTCGACCAAGAGAACGACCAGTCCATGATGGACGCCGCCCCGGAGCAACAGTACGAACAACAGGAAGAGGATGTCCTCGAATTGGAAGATAAGCGCGTCGTCGTTGTACGTCCATCTTCTGCCCCGGCCTTGATAAGATAAAAAAAAGGCTCCCCCCCCCCAAGTTTCTAACCGTCTGAAAGTTACCCGGAGCCACCGAAACCGCCGCATCGTTCCAGTTCGATGGAGAGGGTCATACCCTGGGTAACGCGCTACGATACGCGATCATGAAGAAGTGAGATTGACCCTTCCCCCCCTCCCCCCGCCTTCGGTTTGAAATAGTGATATGCGGGGAAGTCGCGGAGTAGAGGGAAGGACGGGAGTTGGAGAGTTCCTTTTGTGGCTAACATTGCAATTATAAAAGTCCCCAAGTTGAGTTCTGCGGTTACACTATCCCTCACCCTTCGGAGACGAAGATGAACCTGAGAATTCAGACTTATGGTACGTTTGTCCCTGGAAGAAACATTTTGGTGGAGCGGAGTGAGGGAGGGAGCGCGTGGAACTTCCACGTTTCCCTGGGGATGTGTATTGAGGTACAGGAAATCTAACAGTTCACATTTTAGATACGACGACCGCTGTGGAAGCCCTGGAGAAGGGTCTGGATACCCTGATGGATTTGTGTGATGTCGTCACGGATAAGTTCACCGTTGCCCGGGATGGTTTCAATGCGTCCAAGGCGGATCGCATGGAGTCATAGGCTTTTTTTGTATTTTCTGTTTGTCTGGGGGTAAATTTTCTTCGTGTGTTGGTTTTTCTTGGCGTTGTATCTAGAGAAAAGTTTGATTATGTTATTCTCATTCGGCTGCCTATATGGTTGAGGTCCATGTGGTTGAGCTTCTGCGTGCATGAAGCCGTGCTTTTTCCTGGTATGAGAGGTAGTATTTGGTTGGGAATTGGGGTGATGGACTACCAATGCGGACTGGGCTTCTCCGTTTGCAACGGGTAGTCACTGGGGAATAGGTCTGGCTACTCTTGGGTTGTCTTTCTCGCGCAAGTCTAACATGCGCCGCTTTGCGATGCATAGTAGCTCGAGTCGCGGTCTACTATACTGGCCTTGATAGTTACATACACCACCCAAAGCAATCATCACGCTTACAACCCCACAACAATCTACAGTCCCTCGTAATGCACAAGTCCATTGCCTGATCTAACAACAATACCATATTTACATGAGTGCACACTCACACCCTCCACCCGGGTCGGCCATTTAACGGGCCTAGCCCACGACCGTTCATAACTCGAAGAAAAGAAATTCTCAATGCTGCGGATAACTCGAAGAAGAAAAAGGGCCATAAATCAATTGCGGCCTTCCAAAAAGCCGGAGATGAAGTTGGGGGGGAGACGAGCACCGGGATCCTCCTCCGGCCGGAAGTACTTCAGCACGTGCGACAGCTGCTTCCAGTAGTTGAGGGTTTCCTGTGAAAGGGTAGTCGGGTTAGTAGTCTATTGTTGGTATATGCGATGCGATATGTGCCGGGACGATGGGGAGCATATCGCATGGATTGATGAGCAATTGAGTTTCCCAGATCGAATCAATTCAGATATCCCATCATGCCTCAACGGAACCCCACCACGCGACAGGTTTGTCAACTCACCTGGAATTCGGCGTGGCTCTGGTACAAAAGCACATCAATCACATTCAACTGGCTGACGTAGCGGTGCTTCTCGAACTCCTGGCGGATCTTCGTCCGGATGGCGGAGACGGGCATGTCCAGAGAGTACATGGTCTGGATCTCGGGGGACTAAGAGTAATCATACCATGTCAGCTTGGTTGTTTGGTCTTTGGGTCATCGCAATGATGGTTTTTTCTCCCCAGTCTGTTGCCCGCTCGGCACCCCGTTGGAGAGCTGCTGATCTCCAGCGAGGTGACAAGGGAAACACAACGAGCCATTGAACATCACAAATATATCCCAGAGAGTCCACTAACCGCTCTAAGCCATTCTCTGTACGACCGAATGACACGACGCTTCGCTTCGGCCAGGTTGGCAGCTATATAAGGGTTTCGAAAGTCAGCTCGTGGGTTCCGGCCATTGACGTCGCGGCAATTTCTAAAGGCGCCGGACAACCGGTGGACGACGGGAGGGGGATGGAGGCGGTGGTGGTGGTGTGTCCTTGCCCCAAGATGAGATTCACGTACAGGAGCGGGTGCGCTGGGCGAGGAAGGTCGGGTTGATGGTCATCTTGACAGCTGCAATTGAGGCGATTGAGAGGGGCCTTTGGTGAGCTTCGAGGGGTGGGAGTTTCTCTGGTTCTCTGGTCGGGACGCCTTTGAGTTAGCGTTGACGGGATGGGAGGAGATCCGACGGGGTCGAGGTTGCGGTCGTTACCACCTCACCGCCTGCCTGATTCAAAAAATTTCTTTTCTCGGAGGCGCAAAGCTTGGGGAGGGGGGTTTGTGGTTCTTGATTGTTTCTGATTTACTTTTTGTTTGAATCGAGTTGAATTCTTTCGAAAAATATTTCCATTTGTGCTTTGGAGTTTAGAGTCACTCAGATTTGTGTCTATCGTCTCTGTTTCGACTTGCAGTTCCCCTCGCCCGCGATTTGAATTTTTAAACACCATACACACGATCAAGAGCCCGGCGTTTTAAGAACGAGATCCACGATATGGCCCCGACTAAGTCCTCGTCCAAGGGCAAGGGCCCTTCCTCGTCCAAGGGCGACGCAAAGAGCAAGCCCCTCTCGTCCGCCACGAAAGTGAGCAAGAAGAACGTCAAGCGCCCCCCGCCGAAGGAAGTCAAGTCGAAAGCGCGCACGGAATCCAGCCTGCTGAAGAAGACGAAGAAGAGGGAATACACCGAGAAGGAGTTGGACCTGCCTCAGTTGAACATGATCACACCTGTCGGTGTGGTCAAGCCTAAGGGCAAGAAGAAGGGCAAAACTTTTGTGGATGATGCGGTATGGATCCACCTAATTATGGGTTCTCAATGGTTGGACTATTTCGCTGATTGATTATCGCCTTACAGGAGGGAATGATGACGATCCTTGCGATGGTTAACGCCGACCGGGAGGGTCAGATCGAGTCCAAGTTGATTAAGGCACGTCAGTTGGAGGAAATCCGCGAGGCGAAGAGGAAGGAGGCTGAGGCCAGGCAGGCGCAGAAGAAGAACAAGCTGGTACGTATTCTTGCATTCATGCTGAGTATGTGTGTGCGGGAGAAGTCGCTGACATGCATGCGGGAAATAGGAAGAGGTAAAACAGTCGATTCGCAATAAGAAGCACAAGGGCGGCTCCAAAGCCGATACTGGAGACTCTGTACCCGACAAGTCATTCAAACCCAAGGGGAAGAGAAAGAGCGTTTCATTTGCTTGAATTTTATTTTGTATAAAAGTAATGCTGTCTATATCAGGTCTATGTATCTAGACGGGTCTCTGGCGTTTCATCGGTCTATATCCTGCCAAAACAATTGCATGCATGACTCTCATGATGAGCAACTCTCCTATCAATGTATGCATCACCGCAAGTCGGCTTGGTTGAGAAGTAATCGCACATAATGCGATTTACGGTGACGACGGTACAATCTTGATATCCAACTTGCGCCGCACAGGACCGAAAAGTGGTTTGGGCATCTTATCGCCGTCTTGTGTAGGTCGAGCAATGTAAGGTGGCAGGCGATCGGGGTGCTCAACCTTGCCAGGGGTGGTGTGATCCACCTCCTTAGCCATCAGATTCAGGAAATTTGATACCTGAATAGTCGTAGTCAATAACTGGTACAGCATAAGCCAGCAAGCAACATACCGGTTTGACAAACCACCTGTCACCTCCGTACTCGAACCAGCCGAGGTGTCCTCCCCAGGAGGTAGTCGCCATGACACCATACGGAGTTCTGGCGATCTCTCCGAATGGCAAGGCTTTAACACAAGCAATCTACTTGGCTGTTAGCACATGTAGCAGTTCCGTGGGCAGGGTACACCATACCGGGTCATCTTCGGCCTGGATAACGAAGAAAGGAATCTTAATTCCAAGCATGGAGTCGATGGAAGAAGCATCACGGTAGTAAGCACCTTCAGTGGGGTAACCCCATGCGGGGCATTGCAGCGCTCTAAAGGTGTCAAGTCAGCGGTCGAAGTACAGCTGCGGTAGGGCGGTCCATTACCGGTCAAACTCGTGCAGATAAGTGACATTTCTGATTTCGTCAACATTGACCAGGGGGTTCAAGGCGACGGATTCCACGTGTCTGACATCCATAATTAGTGTGATAGTCGCCAGACAAATTCAGATTCTCATCACATACTGCTCGAAGAGTTTCTTCATGCTCGATCCCATCACTTTGCTGTATACCTGAAGGCCAAGCCAGCTGCTCTTCAGGTATTCCGAGCTGACCTCCAGGTTCCAGGGGCTAGCGCAAAGCACCGCTGCTTTCAATTGACAGGCGTCGCCCTCCTCGCCCAAATACTATAATAAATCTATCAGTTGCTGGCCTAGGGGAAGCACGTACTAAGAGACTCACGTTGGTAAGGATATTTGCACCTAAGGAGAAGCCGATTCCGAAAAGGGGTCGATTCGGAAATGTCTTCCGTAGCCATTTGACAGCCTGGCGGACATCCCACGTGGCGCGGGCATTGTAGAGTATATTGGTAGTGATCTTGGTTTGCGAGCAGCCTCGAGAATTGATGACACACGCTTCCCAAGATTTATCCTGAATCATAGGCGCAACCACATGGCGCAGATACACCTCATGTGATCCGCCGCTCAGGCCGTGAAGGACCACCAACATGGGCTTTGTATCGTCCGATGGAAGTGCCGCAAATTCGTCTTCGGTGAAGAATGAGGTCCGCTCGGGAAGGCCGTCTGGCAAGGTATACTTCCGCTCAGGATCAGACGTCTGATCATCCTTGGATGGTTGGTAGGGATCTACGACGAAATCGACCGCGAAATGCCCATCAAACAACTGGTTGTCCGCCTCGAACATCCATCTTTTGTAGTGCACCGGAACACTATCATACTTTACTGCGGTCCAGGCAGTCTGTAGATGACCATTGAAGAGGAATGGATTGAGGTCACAGGTCTCAGGGGTGGCTGTACGACAGAGATCTGCCAGTGTCACCTGTTCCTTGGCACCAGACTTGCTATTCTTGCGGGTCAACAGGAGGTTGTTGTCATTGGCGCTGTAGAAGGAGACCCGACCACGCGGACGAGCCCAGGAAAACAAGCCCATTGCTAGCAGGCCCGAGAGAAGAAGTGGTATAGATAAGGTGCTGAGAACGCTAATTGGAGAAATATCAACAGAGGGCATGACGGAGGGGGCTAGAGCTCGAGAAACATGCGGAATGCGAAAAGTGAATTGTAAACCAATGGGAAAAAAAGTTGTTCGGTTACCAAAGCCTCAAAGATTGCTCTAAGCACTTGTTCAGATGCTTGAAACGACAAGACGAACTTGATTGCTTGCAAGCGTAAATCTTGTATATTTTGGATTGGCACACCCTGTCTCCGAGTGAGGAAGTAGACTTTGCATGCCACATGAATTTCTTCTTCAAGATGAGCCTCGGCTTCATTGCCGAAAGGGGCAATATCACTAATCACCTGCCATGATCTTATCGATGACTTCTTATCGTGTCGATCTGTCAGTCCGGCTGCTGACTCACCCACCTAAACAGTTAGTCAGTCAGAGATCATGAGGAAATGCAGAAAGACGTCATTTGGACCAGAAATCCAATCCCCCCACCCAACACCATCGGCTCCTCTCTCTCAATCGCATCCCTCACATCTCCTTTCTTGTCACCCCCACCATTCGAGCTCACTGTGGGCTGTACTACATTGGATCAATCTCTTCCACTTCAAAGGCACAGCAGCATTCTTGCAGGTGGGTGTGCTGGCGTCTCGGCACTTTTAAGCTTCTCGATGCGGTAAGCCAGCCCCGGATGCGGAAGTCTAGTATAGAGTTCGGTGAAATAGCATCATAGACTCTCTGCGCCTGGTTGCAGTTGAGTGGCTTTCCACTCAGAAATTGACCATGAGTTGGATCCGGGACTCGTCTCTGGTTCGATGCGGCCTTGGGTGAAGGTGCCCTGCCAGTTACTCTGCACCAACACAGGATCTTGTCGCTTGTAAGCTTGATTGCTCTTCCCACTGTGACTTTGGCGCGTGCTCCGTTTGCGTGCGAATCCATAGCCTTGCGTGTGGACTACTTCAAGGTCAAGAGGCCCTCCTTTTGTGTGTCTTCCTCTGATTTTGGTTTTTTTCGGTCATGCGGTTCGTTCAATACTATATTTCATACCTTTAGTACACCATGATGCCCGTGAGCCAGCAGAAATCAGCCTGGCTCTCATTTCATCGATGAGCTTTTGTAGGGTCTCCACAGAAAACCAACCCAGAAGAAATAAGCGCCTTAGCTGGGAGCCATTCAAGAACTCATTCCTGGCCGCGGCAATCCAGGATATAGGGCCAAGGGTACCGATCGATATGGCATATAGCTTACGTCGTGCTGCCGAAAAAGTGAAGATCATCGCCAAAATGAATCGGTGGACGCGGAGCCAAACCGAAGGGAAGGGCAGGGATTCAGATTCTAGCGGGCGATGTTTCCTTCTCGAACTTCCAACAGAACTACTATTGGCGATCATTTCCCATCTCTCGGTATTACCCGAGGCGTGTCTAGCGCTGACATGCAAGCGACTCTATGCGATATCTGGGGCGATCCTGGGAGCTAAAGCTCTCCACTTCAGTCGAGATTTCGCGCCACTTTTTCACCACTACCGAAACGGGCACAACTTCGTCACCCCGCGGTGGCAATTGGTCAACCTGCTCGAAGACAGCCGGTGGCGCGCCTGCTCGAAATGTTTAAAACTGCATCTACGGAGCTCGTTCCCTCCCCGCGAGCTGAGAAGGAAGTCCGACGACCGAGCATGTAACTTGGGCGATTCTGCAGGCATAGTGGATCTATGTCCATGCAAGAAGCTCACCTTCCAAGACAAGACGGATCTCGTGCAGCTTTTGAAAACCCGACAGAAATCATTGAACGCCCTCACCCTGCAGTTTGAAAGCGGTATCCAGCAACAGCGCTTCTGTTGGCACTCTTGCAAAGAGGACTATGGATCGACGCAGCTCGAAATCGCGATATACCCGGAGCTAGACCAGGACGACCTGTTGAGGATACATACAGAGTATCGCATGACGACAGGGATTGGACAGCTTGGCAGGGAAGAGCATATAACACCTCGCTTTGGATGCGCTCACCGATCAGTCGACTTGTGGTTATCCAGTGTCTGCCAAACCACGATCTGTCGTCTCTACGACAGCCACTGTGCCTCGTGCAAGCGGATTTCAATCTGCAACACATGCAATGCCTCTTTGAGGTGCCCTCGCAAGCAACCTTATCGAGTTGATGAAGTAACGGACAAAGCCACATACCATTTCTGGACCGAGAGGTGCCTTGGGGGCACGAGCCCGATTCCCGACCAGGCGTGGGCTTCTCAACGGATTCATCCTGCGGAGCACCTATTTGATGCTACCAATTGCAGTGAGATGTGTCCCTGGACCATACGAGAACATCCTCCTCTTGAAGAAGCCCCATCCCTGGAGATGAATATACTGGAGCCTGCCATGCAAGATCAGTCGCTCAACCAGTTATACTCCTCGATCAACATGATCTAAAACCAGATGGGCGTCCTAGAATTAATTGGTGCTGGGCGTGATTCGGGGTATGTTTGAATAGGTATATGGCCGCCCTGTATGGTGTTATACTGTTTTTTCTTTTTTTTTTTTTTGGACTTTTCGGGTAAGTTGAGGACCAGGAGCGATATATAGTATGCTTGGGCTCCATGCAGATTTGCCCATTGTTGTATGTTCCATGTAAACATTTGAATATGACTTAGCACTAGTCCCGCTGGACCGGAGCTTGCAAAGCTCATGAGTATGAGCTCTTTGTTTCTTTCAGAGAGTTGTACCCACGACTCAAGTACATTCCAAGGGTCAGTTCAAGTCGAGTCTCTCTCACCTGATCCTCCCTCACCTGACTTGCTCGGACCGCCTTGTGAGGTTTCTCCGACCCGACGCGGAAACGGAAATGGCCGCGCGCGATTCAAGAAGATCGAGACCAAAGAACCAGTGCAAAAGAAAACAACTTCGTCTTCTTAGGACAGTCTACTTTCAATCGGGATTAGCAGAGCGCAGTGGATAGATGAGCATCTTCTGCGTCCTGGGGCGATGAGCTACCCACCACCCCATAACGGCCAATATCCTCCGCAATACATGCAACAACCCCCCAATCTGCCGCACCCTCACCAGCAGACCGTCCACCCGCAGCAGCTCCTCTACAACAACAATGTTAACACGACTGCTTCGCCATATCAATATGGAAAGACGATGGTCTATCCCCAGGTCATGATTCCGACCTATCCTACTTACACACAACCCTACGCGCCTCAGCAGCAACAGCACCAACCGCCCCCTCAACAACAACAGCAACCGCAATATGTGAATCCGTCCGAGCTGTTCCAACCGCCGCATCTCCCGGCCACCTCACCTCCTCAGTTTTCTCACAGTCCATCCCAGTACAGCGCGACACCGGCGGTGACTGCGGCGGGCAGCACTCATTCCCCTATTCTTTCCACGTCGACCCCGTCTCAGCCATCGTACTATGCCGATCTCAGTTCCGACCAAGGGAACCAGGCCTCCTACAACAAGAATGCCCAAGTTACGCCGAGTCCACAGATAATCTCAGCACCACCCGTACCAGAACCACCAGTCGCTGCTGTACCCATTACTGCTGCGCCTGTCGCTGCTACACCCGTCGCTGCTATACCAGTCGCTACTAAATTGCCCGCGACAAAGTCGGTGTCGGCTACCCCATCGGCTCCGTCTCCGAAACCCGTCCAGGTATTGATTCCGGCGCCGTCCCCAGATGTCCAACAGAAACTGCAGCGGCAGTCCTCGAAGAAGCAGCAAGCTGTTCGGCAACCACCGCAGCAGTCGGCAAAACCATCTACACAGAAGTCGGCCAGAACTCCGGATTACCAGGTGTTATTGTTGGCCATGGCAGATGAGTATCTCGATGCGGCTCACAGTCATGGGACCATGGTGGCCTTGCTGAAGCGGGAGATGGAGATGGAAGAATACTATAAATTGGTCGCAACAGGGCTGGGCTGCTTAGAGGCGGTGTTAAAGGTATAAGATATCTTGGCTGGGCCTCTGTCGTTGTTCTTTGGACATTAACTTGATTTATAGAACTGGAGATTGCAACCTCGGGTCGAGGCTCTTGTGCGTTTGCGATATGCGCGGATCTTGTTTGAGGAAACAGACAATGATCTTGAAGCCGAGACGGCTTTGAGTAAAGGCGTATGTATTCCCTGCAAATACTTTGCGTGTGCTATTGCTGACATCTAATCTAGATCGATTTGTGTGAGCGGGTAGGTGATTCTGAGCAACAGTCTGACGATTCAAGCTTACGCTAGACTAGAATCGCATGTTAGATCTGAAGTATAGTATGCAACATCTTTTGGCTCGGATGCTACACAAGACGAATCCGAAAGCCTCGATGAAAGCCGTGGATGGAATGATACAAGATGTTGAAGCGTAAGTCGTCATGTTGGTGAATTTGATAAAGCTGCGTTCTAACAACACTAGTTATCGCCATTCGGCCTGGGAATATGCTTTTCGCTTCCTTCGCGTATCCCTTGCGCTCTCTTCCCACGCGCATCAAGATTCAGTATCGGCACTGCAACACCTCCACAAAATAGCCAACATGGCACATCGCAACGGCGACAGGGCCGTTTCAGCCATGTCCGCGATTATCGAAGCGCTCGCACATCTGCAGCAAGGCACTGGCTCCGACGCAATTGAGCAGGCGCAGCGCGCAGTGGCGGCAGCGCGAAGCCATCAACTAAACGATGAGCTCCGCCATATTCCGCAGCTGACGACGCTGGTGCAGATCGTTGACATATGCTGTAGTCTTCTAGAGTACGACGTCAACCAATCGTCCCAGAAGCTGAAAGTCATGCAAGACATGATGGATGAGCGATTGAACGATTTAAATTGGCGTGATGATGGGTCCTTTTCCATCCCTCTGAGTGGCAAGGCGGCTGGTCCTTCTTCCATTGACACTGGAGATATCCTCCAGGTACAGAGCGGCACACTACTGTTGAGCTTCAACTGGTTACCCCAACACGATCTTTATGCACTTTGCTATTTCCTAAGCTCCATCACTCTCAGTTGCAAAAATTCGTACGACGGACGCAAAGCAGAGAAGTTCCTTCATGAGGGGTTACGCATGGTAAAGGGTTAGTCCGTTGCCAATCTTGGTTTCCCTTCTGCTTGACCTTACACTGACCCCATTGCCCGCAGGAAGCTTCAAAGCGCCACAAGACATCACCGAGTCTGTGGTCAACGCCAACAGGCGTGTCGAATGGCGCCGAACTCTCTACTGCAGCCTTCTAATCCAGAAAGTCTTTCTCGCCTGCGGCCGCACTGACTGGGACCTGGCCACGAAAACATTACACGAACTGCGACATGAAGCCAAGGGCCTCGGGGACCATCTCCCTGATACCATCAGATGCATGATGGAGTATGCAAGCGGGGCCATCGCCCAAGCGACGGGCGACCTCGCCGCCGCCCTTCAGGCCTTCCAGTCCCCGATTCTCTCCCTGTTCTCCTCTACCCCATCCACCACTAGCAAAGCTGCTCGCAACGATCCGCGCCGCGATCTCGCGATCTTATCCGCGTTGAACACCGTTCTCATCGTCAGCGAACCGACCCACCCAGCCTATCACCAAATTCCCGCCATTCTTTCAACCGTCGAACCATTCTGTACCTCTAGCCCCAGCAGATACATCCAAGCTGCCTACTACCTCGTCTGTGCTACCGTGCAGACGGAATCTACCATCCAAACCAAGCAACACCTTCAACAGGCCCTCCAGTCCGCCACTGCCATCAGCAACAGCCAGATCACCTGCATGACCCTCACCTTCATGAGCTGGAAATACTTCCGCGGCGTCGTCGGCGAGCAGGCCGAGAAGAGCGCACGCGCCGCCCGCGCAATGGCCCGAAAGGCCAACGACCGCCTCTGGCTCAGCGTCACGGACGAGATACTCGCCGAGACGCTGGAACGGCAGGGCAAGAATGAAGAAGCCAAGGGGGTGCGAGATGAAGGGCATCGGGTGATGATCGCGCTACCGCCGGCCTTGAAACGAGCTGTCTAAGCCGAACTTCGTTTTATTTCCCTGTGCTGTGATGATGTCCGGCTGTATTGTCATTGTCCTGATAGAGCGTATTTTCTTTCTCTTTTTTTTTTGTTTCCCTCTTCTTTCGTCATTTGGGCTTGGTCTAGGCTGAGGGGTTTTATCTGGGTGGCTATTTCCTTGTTTTCTACTTCGACTACCGCCTATATCCGGCATGTATGCGCCCTATGTAGTATTTGTTTGTGATAACATGGAGCCTTGGATCCGCAAGGCTCGCGCTTCCATCTGGTTTAACTCGGGTCCTCTCTGTGTGTGCGGGGTTGAAGGGACAAATTCCACATCATAATACCTTAATCTTTCTTGTACGGTCCGGTCCGGTCCTATTTTAGCGCACCATACACCGTTATTGGGGACCCGAGTCCAGCCAGAATGCTGTCTCTCATCCAATATCATCAACAACGCCCTCAGGTAGATCCAGACCCCGAGTGTCACCTGCATGGCGGCCTCATGGAAACAATAGCTGGGAGGCAAGTCTCGCCGAGTCAATCCAGTCCCTAGGCTCGAGCAGCCTCACCCACCAGTCTTCCAGGCAAGCCCTAGCCATATGGTCCTTAAGCGCTGCCAAGATAGCCAGGAGACGTACGTATTGTCTCCGAAGGTACAATGTCTATTTTCTGTCCGAATTGCATTTTTGACGTGGAGGAAAGAATCTGGTCCCTGCTATTGACCGGCAGGTGGTAGACAAGAGAGACAGTCTGACAAGGTATGAGGCTGTCTCTATTAACAAGAACATGGGATTTCACTCCATGTGGGAAGGGAAAGAGTTGGCCCGGGGACCGGGACAGAAGCACGATAGCATTATGGGATGGTTTCTATGATACACTTCTCCCCCCCCCCTTACCCCCCTCCCCCCCAAACACGCGCGCGCAGTACAGTAGATCCTGTAGCCCACGCGCGTGCATCATTACCCTTTCGACTCACTAGCTGAATGAGTACCACCTAAAGCTGACCTGACTGGGGAGGTAGCCGACAGCCATCCCTCCGGCTAAAGCAAGCTCCAATCACAGACAGGAGCGAACAGAAACATGACAAGCGACACCGCTATATCGCCGTCGCTATCTGACCAAGCCCCTCAATCGATATTTCGAGAGTTAGATGAAAAGATAAATTGAACATGACATTGACTCCGTAATCTCGAGATTTCTCCGTACGCCTGCAACGCAACCCTATACACCGGCCCAGAAAGGAGGGAAGGAATGACGAGACAATAAGAAACTTGATCCGGACTGCGAGAGTTGTCGAATAACCGGATTCCTTTAAACACGAGTTGGATCACAGAGGAGAAGTTGGGAAGTCGATGAGAGACGGCGGACCTTTGTAGCAGGGAGTTCATATGTAGATTGATCGAAGTGATTGACGGAGTGGTGGGTGAAAGGGGGAAATCTCTAATTGTTCGCTTGATGTTCCTCCAAAAGGTCCGGTGGCCTTATTGGACTGTTGCGCTGCTCTGGTTGTCCCTGATTTTCTCGAAATCAGGTTATAAGCTCTGACTAACCCCGGTTCATTCAACACCGGACAGAACAGAAACAGACACAAAATAATAACGCGAGATCGGCAATGTTTATCCGAAGCGTCCTGAACGAGGAGTAAAAAGTCTAACCCAGACCGCCCCAGACACCGCGGATCCGCCGAGCAAGCTGAATATCCTTCTGCATGATTGTCACGCGCTTGGCATGGATGGCACAGAGGTTAGTGTCCTCGAAAAGATGGACCAGGAATGCCTCGGCGGCCTCCTGGAGGGCTAGGATCGCATGCGATTGCCAGCGCAGCTCGGAGCCCACATCTGCGGGAAGGAGGTCCAGGGCGACCTCACGGACTAGTCGCGCGAACGGGAGCTTCTTGATGAGTAGGTCGAATGAGCGTTGATATTGGCGGATCTCCTTGAGGGCAACGGTTCCCGGCTTGTAACGGCGACGCCGACCAGTGGGGTGGGGATCGCCCGCTGTGGGCTTCTGTCAGAAGCTTACTTGTGGTGACGGGGTTGAAAGAGTACACATACGTTCAACATCGGATTTCCTGGGCGCTTTTGCTGGTCGCTTGCCTTTGGCGACACCACCGGGTTTGCGCCCGCGCGCCGCTGGCGAGGTGATCTCCGTTGGGGCAGTCGAAGGACCTGCAGCGGGTTCGGAATCAACAGCGGCCGTTGGTTTCCGTGGCCCAGCAATCGACTTGCGGCCGCGCCCTGTTTTGGGAGGCATGCTGGGATTTGTGTTCGTCGGGTGTTATGGGAGCGATCAATAGATTGGTCGAGGCGGGGGAATCGACCAGATCAATTAATCAGGGCGATCTGTGCGAGGTCCTCTTGCTGTAGCTTGCAGAGGGCTGAACACTTGGCTTTGACCGTTGCCGTGAGCTTGGGATCGAGTCCTCTCCTTCAGGCGCAAAGCTCTAGAGAAGCGGAAGGGAAGACAATTGTCGAGCCAAGAATGTTGTTGCTCTGTTTGTTTTAATTTTTGCTCTGGTCTGTCGCGAACCGTGTGAACAGCCTTGGTTGGTAACCTTGCCGCCTGTTTTGCAATAGGAGGGCTTTGGTGCAGGATTTGGCTGGATTTCTGAGGGGTTTGCACAGGGAAGTGGTAGTGCATCTAATCGGATGCAGATGGTGGGCAGTGGAGATCCCAACCATCTGCATTTCCGTGACGCGTGGGGAGCGCGTCTCGTTTCAGTGGCTTCAAGCGCGCGTGTGCAGTGGGATCACGTGACACATGGTGACAAGTGACTGGCACGGGGTGGCCTCAGGCAAAAAGGCCAGCTGGAAGCTTAGTGATTATCAGCACCGAAAAGTAAACCTGGAGTAATCTTCTTATCAGTCAGTCAGTCAGTCGTCGTCACTTGCTACCAGACTATTCCATAACTCCAGCTCACCCATTTCACCCTCCCCACCGCTGGTTCCAGTTCCATTCCTTGACTATCTGCACCTCGGTCGCTTCCACTTGAGACAGAAAGACCTGCCAATTCTTTGAGCATCTGCTACCTAATAATTCCAACACAATGGCCGCCATCTGGGGTAACGGTGGGCAGGCTGGCCAGTTCCCGCTTGAACAATGGTTCTATGAGATGCCTCCCGTGACGCGGTGGTGGACAGCTGCCACGGTAGCCACATCGGTCTTGGTCCAGTGCCATGTCCTCACGCCGTTCCAGCTATTTTACAGCTTTCGCGCTGTATATGTGAAATCTCAGGTACGTTGCGCACTGTCCTGTGAATGCTGAGCGCGCCGCCTTCAATGACGATCACCAAAGCTGACCGTGGCGGAACAGTACTGGCGCCTGTTGACCACCTTCCTCTACTTCGGGCCATTAAATCTCGACTTGCTGTTCCATGTCTTCTTCCTGCAGCGATACTCGCGCCTTCTCGAAGAGTCTTCGGGTCGATCCCCGGCTCATTTCTCGTGGCTGCTGTTCTACGCCATGGCCTCCCTGCTTTTGCTTTCGCCCTTCCTCTCGCTGCCGTTCCTGGGCACTGCGCTCTCATCCAGCTTGGTCTACATCTGGAGCCGTCGTAACCCCGACACTCGCCTAAGCTTTCTCGGGATGCTGGTGTTCTCGGCGCCGTATCTGCCCTGGGTGCTGATGGCCTTCAGCCTGGTCGTCCACGGCATCGTGCCCAAGGATGAGATCTGCGGTGTCGTGGTGGGACATGTCTGGTACTTCTTTAATGATGTCTACCCGTCCCTGCACGGCGGTCATCGGCCTCTTGATCCTCCCTCTTGGTGGGTCCGTCTTTTCGAGCCTGCCGCTGGGGAAGGAAATCCCGCCGAGATTCGCTGAGCGATGGTCCGATCCTGAGTCTCGTCAGTGTATAAGGCTCGCAAGGCTGTGTTCCAGGGCTGCCTGTTCCTAACGGCGCGCACGAGCCTCTTCCCGACCAGGGTTTCTCGATTTTAAAGGATTGCGGTGCGCGGAGACGTATGGAGTCTGAACGGGGCAGAATAAAAAGCGACGCTTGGGACTATGGCAGCATCTCTGATTGTTATTTCGCCCAGTGAATTGTAGGTCATTTGACTTGGTAACGTGATGGGGTGCAAGGGCTGTTTGTTGCGCCACCATCGGTTCCCCTGTCAGTTAGCTGGATAGGCGGTGCAGCCTGTCGCATCATCGGAACAGCGCACGCGGATGCATAGATCGGATCCATTCGCCAACAAGTCGAGAAGAAGGTTGGGACTATTTGTGGGGAGGCTTGGAAGGAGTAGTAGGTACTGCAGTGCTCAGGAGAATTTGTCTGGTGGACTTTGTTTCTTTTCATGGTTGAGATTTGAGATCTTTAGCGAGATACATTGGATATACCCCTTGCTGTAAGGCGAACATTGATCATGTCGTGCTTTATACGAGAGGAAGAGATGCAATAGTTCTGTTAAATTAATGCGAAGACGGGGGGAGATCTTCGCAATCATGCGCCAACAGGAGCCTTCTTAACCATGCTGGAACGGGGTTCCACTGAGGAGGGGCTCAGCAGCAGATGCCTACTTGCTGCATGTCATGGAAAGAGAACGGCCTGCCCACGTGTACTGTAGATCAAATGCTGGAGTAAACTCTCCGCATGACCAGGAGCCCGAGCGAAAAGGTTCGACCACCGATATGGCAAGGTAGTCAGTCAGTCAGTCCTGAGTCAGTTGACTGTGAACGCGCGCTTGGATCCCTTTATCGCAACACTCTCAACAATTCACCGCAATGTTCTTTTTCGAGGTTGCCCGGGATCCAGAATAGATATTAGCCTTGCTTGGCTCACGTAACGATCATCAGCGGCTGGTGTTGATCGCCAGCTCATATTGGTTCACCCGTCACTATAACAACGAAATCACAGCGGGGGGGGACCTGTGTTTCCCACGTCGACGACCGGGATTAGACACGGCCATTGTGAGGTTATGCATCATGCTACCATTCTGGTAAGAGGGAAGGTATGCACTCTACTGACCATCACTTGCTAGCCACGGTATCTTCTAGGCCGATTAGCGGCGCCAGCTCGACCAGTCATTGTCAAGTCAACTGGCACTTGGTATACGTGAGTACTACATGATATGTAAAGCTCATCCCAAATCAAGAGAAAGTTATCGAGATCAGGAGGCTTGTTGGGGAATTGAGCTACCGGGTGCAAGGTACTGATCGTCATTTGGAACGAGGTGCGAAGGTGCAAGGGGGGCCCTCTGTGAAGGGGGATTTTCTGGTAGTTGTATGCGTGTGCAGCACACTGCAGTGAACACAAAGACAAGGAAGGAGGTGTTTCATTTCTGATGCATATGAGCCACAGGTTTCAGGCTTCGGACCAGGCCTGGATCATGTCCAAGACTCCCCAGTCCCAAGTCAATATTCGTACCTTGGCTGGATACGAGGACGTGGGCAGAACTGGTCGGGGCAGATACAGGCAATGACCGACCGGAGAAGATGTCCTTGGAAGTGGAAGACACTCAGTAAAAAAAAGCTGAAACAGCCTCCCGGTAATAGCTCAGCATCCACCACGGCACCATCTAGCTGACCACGCGTCTGACAGTGCAGCCAGCCAGTGGTGAGCGAGGATCTGGCACAGAGCATGGAACCTTGACAAGCCGTGGGTCGCCGTGGACCATTGAAGGAAGAGCGGGCCTCGAATCTCTTCTAGTCCTCCGGTCTGGCTTCCAAGTTCGCTCTTCCATCTTCCACAATTGTTTTGTCGAGGGGCGAGGAGGAGCCGAGGTTGGGTCAAATCTGGGGGAGAACTTTTTCCTTCCTCGATTGAATATAACCCCTCCAGTGGCAAAGAAGCAGGGGAATTTTGGGGGGTCAATCAAGCTATGCATGCGAGATTGGATGCGAGGTTAAAACACAGATACCGCCATGGCTTGTTTACAATGGCATGGGTTCGATCTGGCCGTCCATTTTGTTGCCGTAGAAGCGTGTCTAGTTCGACAAGACTAATCAGTCAATATGATAACTATTCCAGTCTGTCAAATCGCATGTGTTTGTGGAGCCCGAGGAAGTTCACTAGTGTGAGTCCACCCATTCCAGAAACCCAGCGTGTCGGTCGGCGAGACGGCGGGAAACTTCCCCGAATTACCGGGACGGCGATTCAGGCATCGGTCGTACTCGTAAAGGCATACCCGTGCGGTGCGAACTGGAGCCTGCTGGTCAATCTTGGGACGCTGAGGCTTGTGACCAAAGGGTCCTACGCCTTCCATGGCAACTCATCGCACACCAAATCTTATTCCCAGCCGTGACGACAACAATCATGGCACATATCGTGGCTGGGGGACCCGGAACTCATGGAGGAGCACCAGCACTTTTGTGGCAAGCCACCGTTGACCTCCCTTCCGCTGTAAAGGCTTCGATGATGAAATTTGCCGGTGGCTTTTTCTTTCTGCCTAGATGCAACCTCTTGTTGTTCACCTATCAGTACCCCGCTTCTGTCGCGATTCCTGTCGTGATTCCTTCTTGAGGTCAAAGTTATGCATCGTCATTGGCGAGGAATTCCGCGGCACTACAATATGCCACAAGAAATAGTGGTCCAACAATGATGTAGTGATATGGGAGTTGCAGATTCACTTCACGATTAGAGAATAGCCCTTCCGTGCCAAGTGTCTCATTATCAGTGAAGTACTTGTGGCACACCGACAGAGGTTCAAGTGTATCTAGATACGTAGTAGATCAGTATGTGTCGAATACCAGGCTCTGGGCCTGCATGGACGGATATCAGAAGCTGGCCAATCGCATTGAAGAGGGCAAACATGGTTCTCCTGCTTCTTATGCACCTGTGTTTTACCTCTGTTCCAAACTTAGAATCTTGGAAGCATGCTCCGGGGCAATGAGAATTGGGATCATCAGCATCCCTGCATGCTGGCCTGACACACGCAGCTTTTTACTGAATCTGCCAAGCAAGGAATTGTAAAGGTGTTAAGAACTCGAGACAGGCTTGAGATCTTAGTCAGTGGCAAATACACGACTTTGGTGAGAATGAGCAGAATTTACGGAGAAAATGAGATAGATCCGTCAAAACTAAGTAGACTAACTAGCTACTGTCAATGGTGAATAGAGGGCAAGCCATTTCGCGTGGATTAGGGTTCTACTCAACTAACTTATTGCTCTTTCGAACTGTCCGGCTGCAGGTACAAGGTTATAGACATCATATCATTGGACTTTTTCGTCCCCAACAATTCAACCATCCACGCCCGAGCAGGGGATGTGACAGTCTCCCGCTAACCATGAATTTACGAGAAATCACCAGACACCTGATGTCAACGTCCCAGAAACACATGTCTTCGCTTCAATATCATAGGCAATTTCCAAATCTTTTTTTTCGATGTGAGTCTTTGGAAGCTTTCGAGGTCCGCGTAATCATCATCCCTCAATGGGTTCAGCGTGGAGATGGGGGGTGGGAGGAGCCACAACCAAGACTATTATTCCTTCGAAGTCTCCCGGGGGGCGCGGTGCCAGGACGGGATATCATTTGACCGAGCCGTGATGATGGCTGTGCTCCTGGGGCCCATCTCCGCGGCACCAATAAGAAAGTGGGTTTCTGGCACCATTGGAAATGATTAGCGCTCCCTCTAACGTTTTTAACGAGCTGTTGAGGAAAGTGGGAGATAAGACGATCGAGTTTCCTGCATAGCCACCAGCCAAGTGGCAAGGCGAAAGGTCCGCCTCAAGGATGGAGTTGACCACTTCTACTTCGTAATGTTTCCAGGAGATGTCATTCGGAGACAGCCACCAAATGCTCGTAGGGAGTGCACACCGCAGCACAGCAGTACAACACCACAGTAGTTACCGCAACACGGCGTTCAGCATTGCCCCGAGGAGCCACTCGACCAGACAAACTTCCCACTAAACGAGTACGGTTCCTAGTCTAAGGTCGCCTCTCAAGTCTAACCCGGTCCAGGGGAGAAAATGACTGAAAATGACTTAGTGACGGAGGCTTAGCATTGGCATCAACCTAAACCTTTCCCCAAACAACAGGCGGTGGAAGAATCCACTTTTGTATGTTTTCTCCTCACCCCACTGTGCTGGTGGACTCCGCTGTTGTCTGCTTTAGTCTAACCCAACGCTGTTTTCCCACCCCTGGCCTTCTCTCCTCCCTCCTCTCCCCTCTCTCTTCCCCCCCAGTAACCATGGGCCGTTGTTGACGCTTCGCGCGCTCCAGCTCCCTCTCCGATCTCCGTCCTCTCATCTTCCTTCCCTCTTTATCTAGTGTGAATTTTGTCTTTGCCCGCCACTCCCTCGCTCTCTACCTTAATTGCTACTAGTTGATGCCGGCTGCTTTGTTGCTAAGGCATCGTTCGTTCCTTTGGCTCCCCTCTTGTCTGCCTATCAAATTGTTCAATTTGTCTTCTTTTTGTCCCAATTCGAGGGACCAGTAAATTACGCACTCCTTTCCCATTATTTGTCCACCTCGTCTAAATCCCCTTCTCCCCAATTCCTATTCCATTAATTCCTTAGGATCCTTTTCTTGCCTCCTCTTTTCGTCCATTTTTCCTAAATAAATCCCACCCCACGCTCCCCCAATCCCAGCGTCCTCACTGGGGCTTGGTTCACTACGGGACCTACCTAATAATACTACTACTACTCCATCCTAAATCCTCTCTATCCCTCCCCGTGCTCACATTTTCTCTACCCTTTCTTCATACGCCAGTCCTTTCCTTGATTAGTTACCTGTGCGAGCTTTCCAGGTTGTTTCATCCTTTGGCCATCAAGCTGGTCCGTCTCCATTCAGGGTAACTCAAAGAGGAAAAGGGGGGAAACAGTTACCAGAAGTTCTACGGCCGTCATATCTTAATTCGGCCTCTTTTCGACTCAACAATATCCATTGCGATTGCTCGACCTGGCTTTCGACGTCTATGCTGCCTGGTTCTCGAGGAGAATAAAGTTCTTGTCTCTTGACTGCACTGCGCCTTTTCTCCTCCGCCGCCGTGCCTTGCTGTGGGGGAATATAGTTGTGTTATAATCCGGGTTTATTGTTCTCGCGCGCCCTTTCGCTCCTTCCCGCCAGGTTCAACACGAAGCTACGACATCTAGACTTGCACCAATTGGTCCCGCCATTCTTGCATCGGTTCTCGCTTTCGACAATTATTCCAATTCTTTGTTGAGCAGGCGTCCTTCGGACTCTCTGCTCCGTCTTTCATCATGCGACGCGGTGTCTTGATCTTCCTCCTCGTCAACCTTCTCATAGTCACCTTCCTGGTGCGCAGCGTCTTTACGCTCCTGTCGCTGCTCGTGGAAGATGCTTCCGCCGACGCCATCCATCGCGCCGAGCTTCCCTCGCCGAATTCCAGCCTGATTGAACAACGGCCACAAATCATTCCCAAAATCATCCACCAAACTTATAAGAACGAGACCATTCCTGAGGTGTGGAAGGAGGCCCAGCAGAGTTGTATTGACTTGCACCCTGACTACGAGTATATCGTATGTGTTCTGCTACCTGTTCAGCATTTGAACTCGAGACTGACTTATTGCTCTAATCAGCTTTGGACGAACGAGAAGTCGCGCGATTTTATCGCCAACGAGTATCCCTGGTTCCTCGAGACGTTCGATGGCTACAAGTACCCAATCCAGCGAGCAGATTCGATTAGATACTTTGTTCTGGCTCACTATGGTGGCACTTACATCGATCTTGACGATGTGCGTATACATGCTTGACTTGGTGCCGAGGACCATGTTACTGACTGCTACTCAGGGATGCAACCGTCGCCTAGATCCTCTCCTCGCATACCCTGCTTGGGTGCGCCGCACTGTACCTACCGGTATCTCCAACGATGCTATGGGATCCGTCCCTCAGCACCCCTTCTTCCTGCGCGTGATTGAGCTTTTGCAGTCGTATGACCGCCATTGGCTTCTGCCTTATATCACTGTCATGTACTCCACCGGTCCGCTCTTCCTCTCGGTGATCTGGAAAGAATACATGCAAACCTTCCCGAGCGAATCGGCACGTGTGCGCATTCTGATGCAGGATGAATACAACAAGCACTCGTGGAGTTTCTTCACTCACCACGTGGGTAACAGCTGGCACGGCAAGGATGCCCGCCTGATCTTCTGGATGGGTCAGCACTGGATCTTCCTCACTGTCTGCGGGTTCCTTCTGGCGACCGTGGTCGGATTCTCTCTCTGGTGGCTGTATGTTCGGGTTATGGTACTTGGTTCAAAATACCGCTACCGCTATGCAAAGATCCCATCGTTCGTGACTGGATCTCGGTTACCTTCCCCGACGAGGATGTCGCGCCGCATGATGCCTACCCTTCTTCGCCGTGTCAGCTTCAAGGAAGATGAAGAAGCAAACGGTGTCACGGAAACTTCCTATGAACTCTATAGTCGCCGGGACTAAGCTGTTCAATTTACGACCCGTACCATTTCAGTCCTTTTCCGCGTTGAGGCATGATGACTCCCTACTTTTCCCGCTACCAATTTTAATGTCTCCCGCGTACTTGGGAGGTTTGTCCAATTTCTGAAGTGCATGTACGGAGTTTGGGGGTCATGGGGTTTGACCGAGATGCTTCTCAAGCACGGGGTTCCTTGTACATGTTTTGGTAAGATACTTTGATCTATGCGCGGGCGACCCGCGAGGCAGCGCTCGGGCGTGGTATCTGGCTTTTCTTTCTTGGATGTCTTACACTTTTTGCCTTCGCTTCTTCACTGTCTGTTTACACCTTACACCTTTTACTCTTTCTTTTCCCCCCTCTTTCTACCCTACCTACCTACACATAGACTTGCGATTGATTTTGGGTAGACGAATGTCGTCGGATTTCCAGTCACAAATGCCTGGTGCTGCTGGAATTGTCGAATGAAATTGATGTGGTGGGTTGTCTGTCCGCCTTGATATGAAGATCAGCAGAGTCATCGTCGTAGACCTAAGCCAATCAGTTGTTGTATACGAGCTTTGCGACCAGTCACGGGCGGGTGAAACGCTCAGCCATGAGGAGGATCCAATGAGTGTGGCGGAGGGCCGAACAAGCACTACCAACTCGAGGCTATTTATGGTCGGGCGTTTCACGGGATCTCACTTCCCCCAGGTTCGACTCCAATCAGGACGAGAATTCAATCGTCGAAAGAATAGGATGACACACAGCCTCGAAGGATATTGGGCTGAAGCGATCTTCAGGGCCTGGTTGGCAACTTGGCGGGCTCTGGGG